GCTCAAACGAAAGAGCGGGTCGAGAAATGGCGTGCTAGGACCTCTAAAGATGGTTTTGAACCAGGGGAGACTCCTAGACCCCACTAGACAATGTTGTCACAATTGCGTTTTTCAATTGAAAACAGACGTCATCTTTAGAGACAATTGTCATCTTTAAAGACTTCTGCACGCCATTTTTCGAGCCGCTCTTTCAATTTGACCCAAAAAAAACATGGCCGTGACTATTCGCACCATTGCGTGAGTCACTCCCGTACACTCCACGCATGCGTGAAGTTTGTGTGTTTCACGCAGCCGCATTTCCATACTGCGTGAAACACGCAGTTGAAGTGTGAACACAGGTGTACAAAACTTCAACTGCGTGAAACACACAGGCGTATCAAAATACAACTGCGGGAAACACACAGTAGTATAAAACTTCAACTGCGTGAAACACACAGTAGTATAAAAATACAACTGCGTGAAACACACAGTAGTATGAAACTTCAACTGCGTGAAATACACAGCAGTATGAAAATTCGGCTGCGTGAAACACACAAACTTCACGCATGCGTGGAGTGTATGGAGTGTACGGGAGTGATTCACGCAATGGTGCGAATAGTCACGGCCATATTTTAATAACGCGTATACCAAACCCCGATTCCAAACACTAGTTTATTTTAGCAAATAGTTCATTAGTCAATATATCTATGGCTCATAGCAGTTATACCTAGTGTTTTGATACTTCAACAGTCCTTCCTAATATCCCACTATTCTCGGAAGTGAGCAGATCCCCCGTAAGCGAGGCCGAAATTGTTAGTCGGACATAAGGGTATTAAAACGGCCCTTGGATACTCAGGAATATCCAGAAATAGCATCAGGAATTATTTCACTAAAGTTAAATCGTCGAAAAGATTAATGCAGAGGACGATCTAACTCAAAACGTCACACTCTGTATTGGGTTTATTTCCCAATATTATTCAAAAACGCTCTTTGAAAATGTTCAACTTTTTTTCAACAGTTTTTTGATTGTACAATCATAATTTTTGGAGACTCCAGGGCTATGTAAAACTGAATAGCAATTGGAGATCATTTCAGATTATGAAAATAAAAAAAAACAATCAAGATCACATTCGAAAGATAATCCACCTGGGCCTTAAATAAAAAATATTAATTGTTCCCCAGGATCATCTGTATGTAACGGAGACAGTGGAGGTGGATTGACATTCGAAACAAACAGATTGTCGTACCTTCGTGGTATTGTGAGTAGTGGAATTGGGGTAAATGATACTGAAGCTGAGCCAATCTGTGATAATAATCGATACGCCATATACACAGAAGTTGCATTCCACATATCATGGATACAGGACATAATGTTCAAGGTAACACGTGGACAACCGATTCCAGAGTGTTTAACACCCAAGTAGAATGTGAAGAAGCAATTTCTCCAAATTCTGCAACGACTGATTTGTGATACCACGAAATTTCTTCCAAAAACTCCCCATTATATTTTCACATCGTTGATCATCAGGCAGAGTTAAATACATAAAAACATGAATCGATACTCACTGAGTTAAGTTAAACGTCGATTAATAAAAAAATTTATCTTAAATAACACAATCTATCCATTTATCACTATCTCTGTCCCTTCCTCGTTCATTACTCCTTTTATGAAATCTTTGAAACTTCCACTGAAGGCTTGAAAGACCCAGGGAAGGACGTCGGTGGTGCTGGAACGTCTGTAATCAGAACATCAGGTCTATTCACCCAGCCACAATAACTCTCAGAAGACAATTTAAATAATTACCCTCAAGAAGAAGAGAATGCAACTCCCTCTCCAACTCGGGTAGTTCTGCATCAGGAACTTTAGGGAATGATTTGTCGTTGGAGCTCGAGTTCAGGAGGTCATTCAGTTCCTCTTCCAGCTCAAGGTCAGACTCGTTGATCTTCAGATTTTCAGATAGAGTTGATTGAACGTCGTGAACCTCGCCAACAGCCTAGAAGCAAGCAAAACAAAGAGAGAAAGTTTAAACATCGAAGGAATATGATTAAGGTTTTTTAACCATTTTCAGCAAATTTAAGTCTCACCTCAATCATGTCGTCCATAGTGTCCCTGACACTCACTTCATTCAGTCCAGACTTCTCGAATCCCTTCAAAATGTCCCTTCCCTTCTTATAAGCCTCCAACACCTCATTATTCGACCTAGCATCATGAATACTCGAGATCAAGGTGTGAACATTCTGGAGAGTCCCAGCATGTTTCTCAATCCTCTTATCCAGCTCCCTCTTCTTCCTGATGTACGTCTTGGCGACCTCCTTGAGTCCACTATCCAAGGAACCCTTTGCCTTCACCAGAAGGGCATTCCTCTCTTTTTCCAGACTCTCGATTTTCTCCAAGAGAATTCGTTCATTCTCCTTCAGCTTGAAAAGGCCCTCCTCAGCCTCTGATAAATTGCCAACACCTGTTGGAGATATCTTCAGAAGACACTCCCATTTTTCGTGGTGGTGCGGCACCCCCAGACCTCCTTTCTTCGACCGCCCCAGCCACAGAAGCGCCAGTTTTACGTTTTCTTCTGTTACGTTTTTACTTCCAGTCTTCTCGGAACATTTTCTCGTTATCTGGGGCACTGAGAGTATCTGGTCCTTCTCGTCGTTGGATAGACTGAGAATGGTCTGGGATAGCTCTTTTATCGTGGGAATGTGGATGTATTTTAGATCTGGGTTAGACACGTTAGGGATGAAGTAGTTTTTTAGCTTTGAGAAGGACCAGACTACCGGTCTTTTGACCATTGTGTTCACTGCCCATGAGGCCCAGGTGGCGTTCTGAGACTCCAGGAAGGAGTCTAGGGTGATGATTTCGCCTTTTCTGTAATTGGAAGAGTATAGGGAACGGTTTATTGTTTGATTTTCTATTCTTTAATCGTCTCCTTGACATCGAAGTTCATTTTCTCAGAAGACTGTGCTATTTTTGCACTTCGAGATTAATTATTATCAATAATGCTGGATAATAATACTGAAGATTGAGCACAAACTCAACTAGAATGTTTGTATTTAGATCAACTTTCGTTTAGCATTTATTTCAGATAAATAAAATTTCAGATTAATATTCAAAACTAAAGTCATGTTTATACTACTTTAGAGTGAATATAGGATCATCCGAAAGAACGAAATAATAAGCAAAAACATAGATGATAGTTCAATCCATGATAGTACTATGACATGAAAAACGAGAAAAAGGGAATAGTAAAATAAAAGTTCCAAAAAGAGGATCCATTCTGAAGCCAATTGTTAATTTATTAGTAACAATAACTTTTCATTATTCATTATTCATTTCCAAAAAATGCAATCATCTGCTTCTTGTCTGATTTTTCGTGGAAAATTTATCTAAAATATGTGAAAATTTCACTAGTTTCACAGAATTTTCATTAAAGGTTTTGTCCAGCATTTTCATATTAGACATGGAATTTTTATTCACTTTTTCAGATTTTTTGACATTTTTCCAAAACTTTAATTTTCCAGAATATTTCTGTTCATATTAACTTTCGTCAAGAATTTATTTAAGATTTTAATCTTCGCATTAAAATCATGTATATACTACTTTAAGAAAGTTTGAATATAGGATAACTTGAAAGAATAAAATAATAGGCAAAAATATTGATCACATTTTAATTCATCATAGTACTATGGCATAAAAGAAGAGAAAAAAAGAGTATCCATTGAGAAGCAAATTGCTAATTCATTAGCACAAATAACAACACTCATTGACAAAAAAAGCATTTTTTCTCGACTTTAATTTTCTCCCTCACCTCTGAAAGTTAACTTTCTCGATGTTATTTTGACACTTCTAGATTAATTATTATCAGTAATATTAAATTAATAATTGAGCACAAACTCAACCAGAATATTTCTATTCATATTAATTTTCGTTAATTCATTTTACATTTTAATCTTCACAATTAAAGTTCTATTCGTCCTACTTCAAACCCCATAAGTGAAAAACAATTAATGAAATTAATACTAAATTACATAAAATACTAATACAAAATTAATTTCTCCCCCGTTATTACTATTTTTAAAAAATAAGTCCATAAAACGTGACTACTCACTGGTAGAGCTCTTCCACGACAGTTGGCAGACACAGAGGAGTTCTCCCCTTTCTCCTGAATACCGTGGACAGTTGGACAACCGAGAACGTACACTGTTGATTGTACCCCAAGTAGTTAACCAGAAAAGAATCCCAGAACTTGAACTTGGAGTCCCAGTCCTGGGGGTTCACCGAGCGATTCCTGAACTCCGCGAACATGGCGTTCATCCTCTCGTCGTTGAACCATGCGTCAGGCATAAGATCCCTGGGCAAGGGGTGATGCTCCTGATTACCAGCCATTTCTCCCCTCACACTCGTTAATTATCACAAAACCACAAATAAATAGCACAACAGATAGCCTATTTAACACCATAAACTAGATTAACTCGACTCTCGTTACATTAAAAGCATAAAATTCGCTCATTTGTGGGGACAATCTACAGACAGGACCACAAAACGATCATCAGACGGTGGCACAATGGTCATTGGACACCTCAAATCTACGTCTTTGACCTCAGAACAAAAATAAAACTGACGTTGTTCCATCTCAAAGGGATTTACGCATTCGACTAGTCGTTGGAGATAAGCGATACGCCTCGATGTATCGAAGTGGCCGATATTGTATATCGATATACCGATACTTTTGACGACTAATATATCGCTATTCGATATTTTTTTGTCAATATCGAAGTCTCAATTTTTTTGGCACTTGCCTCTACAAGAGTGAGAGGATAAAACCATTAAGATTAGAAGAAGAAGAAGAAGTCTAAATTTGTTTCTAAATTTCTAGAATTTCGGAAGAGAATAAATGAAATATTATCAAGAAAAAAGGGAAATATTGTTTTCAATACCGCATGATTTTATTTATTTCAGATTTCATCGGACCTCCTCCTCTCTCATCTGGCCCATCGAACTCTCCTTCCCCACATGGAAAAAAAATATATACAGAAATATATGTCACTTATATCCGCTTATATGTGGTATACTTTCCGGCAAAAAATGCAATATTTGAGATATATGTTGGATATATATACATATATGCCACCGGGTATACCTGTAGGTATATGCTATCACATATGCTATAGCGTATACCTGGTATACAAGGCGGATATATTCAAGATATAATTCCGGCAAAATCACTATATCTCACTTATAAGTTTTGGCTTATATTTTCATCTATGCGGGCCCTCACCCCACGCATCGGTTCCTGCCTATATCACTCCATTACTAGGGGAGGTTGGGGTAAAACAGACACTTTTGATTTTTTTTTAAATGTTAATGAGAGGTTGAAATGTTGATACCATCCAATAATTTTTTTTTCGATACAAAGACCAATTCTTTCCCTTTGTGGCGAGCCAAAATTGAGCTCAATTGATCAATTTGTTTCTGAGTTATAAATAATTTTAAAAAAGTCCAGTGTTCGTTTTACCCCACCCACTCCTATTCATGATCAATCTACTTGGTTTTCTTGTCGTGTCATTGGTGAATATTTCAGATGAAAAATATATCGGTTCAGATGAAAAATATATCGGTATATCGGTTCAACGATATTTTGTTCAGAATATCGATATCTTCGAATCTATATTATTTTCAAATTATATCGATAGTTGCGATTTCGATATTTCCTTCTATATCGCCCATCCCTACTAGTCGTAGTCGCACGTACCACTCCGATACCTCGAACTCGAATCTATTGATTGTGCCAGCTGTTGGCAACTTCGGGGCTGTCTTCAGTCAGTCAATTACTGAGTGCCGTAGAGGTATCAGAGTGCAACAGCAGTCGCGATTTTCGGCAGATTAAAATTATTAACAATGGCTAAATACAGGATTGTTATGGTTCGTCATGGGGAGAGTGAGTGGAACCAGCTGAATTTGTTCTGTGGATGGTTCGATGCTGGGCTATCGGATAAAGGTATGTGGTTGGATTTTTGGGGCTTCCAATGATGGGGAAAACTCCAAGGGCAAAAGGTCGTAGCTGGCAGTGATTATTGACTAGGTCACGATAATTGAAAGACACTATTATTCGTTTTAATCGGGGGATTATAATGTTTTTCGTTGTTTTAATTGAAATTGTGAAGGAAGTGAGAACTGTTTTAAGTTTATCATTCATGATGAATTTGATTTCGGGAGGTTTGAAGGTATTAGCGCGGGGTTTCCTTGTTACAAAAATCGAAATTGGATGTTTTCTGAGTTTTTTTTGTCAATGTTGACTACAACTTTTTGGCACGAACTCAGGGGCATCACAGAAAAAAAAACTCAATTTGTTGATGACAATTTCCAAGTGATTAATTTTAAAAATTTCCCAGAATTTTCATTCAATTTTGAATATTTCTATAGAACTTTGATAAATAATAGTTTACGAAGTTCCAAGCTTTGTTTCAAGTTGAATTCTAGTAATTACTGTCGAATTATCTCGTAAATTGTTTTCATCAGTCGAGATCTTCCAATGAAAAACCTTGGAAACAAGTGAAATTTTTACTTATTTTGGAAAGATTTCCCACAGAAGTCAGACAACAAGTAAATGATTGCAGTTTTTGTAAATGAGTATGATTATTGTTGCTAATAAATTATCAATTTGCTTCTGAATGGATCCTCTCTTTTTGGAATTCTTACTTTACTATTCTCTTTTTCTCGTTTTTCATGTCATAGTACAATTGTGAATTGAAATATCCGTGTGAGAGAAGTGTAATGGTGCGCCATAGCAGAAGCACGGCAGCTCACGCACGTGCGTGAGTTGCCTAAAGTACTATTACTACCTACCCGTGGAAAACGCTTAGTCGTGGAGTGGGTTGAGGATATCCAAGTATCTTTTATAGCCGGAGAAATTTTTTTTTTATCTTGAGTAGGGAAGAGTGGGGTAAAATGGACACTTTTGACTTTTTAAAAAATGTTAATGACAGGTTGAATTGTTTGTGAAATGTTTTTTTTTATTTTTCAATAAAAAGAACAATTCTTTCCCTTTGTGTTGAGCCTAAGTTGATTTCAATTGATAAATCTGTATCTGAGTTATAAATATTTATTTAAATATCAAAATTGTCCATTTTACCCCACCCTCCCCTATCCAGTGTCATTCAAATTACATTTTGCACCGGATTATTTGTTTGAACATTCATTGTTTATAAATAAATAATTAAAACTGTTCAAACTTTCGGAAGTCTTAATTTTTTTAGGCATAAAATCAATTTCTGGTAAAATTCTGACTATGAATAAATTTGTTGCGGTTCCGAACGAATAATTTTTGTGTTGGAAAATTGATTCGGTATAAATTACTTATTTGCAGAAATTAAATTTCGATTTGTTGAATAATTTGTTTGTTGTAAATAAATTTTGCATCTTCGAAGATCTCGGCAACTGTCGGCAAACATTGAAATTGGTGTCAAAAATTAAGAAATTATGGGGAAAAAAAAACAGCTCTTAAGGAGTTTATTTCAAAGTTCAATCCAGCCAATGCATTTTATTTAAATTTTTTTCGTTCAACTGTTTTCAAGTTAGGGCTCATTGAATAACGGAGTTGACACGCCGTAGTCTCCCGGCCGTTGGGACAGGCCGCGTTATAGGACGCCGTATCACGTATGAAAAAATCGTATAGAAATTTTCTATACGGATTGCGTACAGAATTTCTATAGGATTTTCGTACATGATATTCGGATATTTCTATACGGATATTTTTTATACAAATTATTTCTATACGATTTCTATAGGTTTGATCCTATACGACCCACTGCCACATGTATAGGAACATTTCGTCTGGAGTCGCAACACATGTTTTTCTCTGGAGCGTTTAGACATGTTTCGTATGAAACCAAAAATTTATGTAAAAATTTATGTATAGAAATAATTTGTATAGAAAATATTAGTATAGAAATATCCGAATATCATATACGATAATCCTATATAATTTCTATGCGCAATCCGTATAGAAAATTTCTATACGATTTTTTCATACGTTGTAGACATGAGGGGTTAAACAGAAGTTCTTGAATTTAGATTATTTGGGTTGATAAAATAAGAAAATCCAGGTGTCAAAATAAGAACAAGTGGCTCTCCATTCGCGTTTTTACCCCAAATTTCTCAGTTGATCCCTGATCACTTCATTGAAATTCCTTACCAATTGATCATTTTCTCTCTCCAAGGAAAAAGTGAAGCTAACGCTGCGGGAAAAGCCCTAAAAGAATCTGGTTACACCTTTGACGAGGCTCACACGTCAGTCCTGACCCGTGCGCAGGTGACCTTGGGGACGATTTTGAAGGAAATCGGTCAGGAGAACATTCCCATCCACAAGACGTGGAGATTGAATGAACGTCATTACGGTGGACTCACGGGGATGAACAAGGCGGAGACTGCTGCTAAGTATGGAGAGGAGCAGGTCCAGATCTGGAGGAGATCCTTCGATACCCCACCACCACCCATGGAGCCCGATCACAAGTACTACAAGACCATTGTCGAGGATGAGAGGTACAAGGATGGACCCAAGAAGGAGGAGTTCCCCATGTTCGAGTCACTCAAGCTGACGATTGAGAGGACTCTTCCTTATTGGAATGACACCATCATTCCTGCGTTGAAGGCAGGGAAGAAGATCATTATTGCTGCCCATGGAAACAGTCTCAGGGGCATTGTTAAACATTTAGATCGTGAGTATTTGGGGATTATTATGAAGGAAATGTTGAGGGATGGATTTAGAAATTGCTCTGAATCAAATCCTGTTTGAACAAAAACACGTGGCAAATTGCTTTCGTCACACCATAGTCCATATATTTTCGCTAATAAATTAGCTATTTGCTTATAAAAGCAATTTCTACGACGATGTATTTCAAATTTAATTCGATTGAGGCGTGAGATTTTCTATACATTCAAGATTGATTATTTATTTCTACAAACGAATAATTAGTGCAAAAAATTGATTGTTTATTATTCGTTTGCCTCGTAGACTTTCAAAATATTTGAAATAGACGAGGGCCTCAAATTTTTGAACTACAGAGGTTTTTTTGAAATTTTTTCAAATATGTACAATAATTATGAGCTAGTTTTTTCAAATTCGACTCCTGCACAGCTAATTTAGTTTTTTTCAAATATAAAAAATTGCGCCATTCATGTAAAATAGTCACAAAAATGTTTCTGAAAGATCGAGCATATATTTTAAATATTTTGAGGATCATTCTTCAAATTTCATAAGACATCTTTTGTAGAGAATTAAATTCCCAACAAACAATTTCTTATGACAGTTTCTGCTGCAGTCGCTCATCATCGAGATAATTCATTATATTTTTCCTAAGACGTAAAAAAATACTGGATTCTCAATCATTAAATGCATGATCTGTTTTTTTTCTTTCACTAGAAATGAGTAACGACCAGATTATGGGCTTGAACCTTCCCACTGGCATCCCCTTCGTTTACGAGCTCGACGAGAACTTCAAGCCCGTGGTCTCCATGAAGTTCCTGGGTGACGAGGAAACCGTTAAAGCAGCAATAGCTGCTGTAGCTGCCCAGGGAAAAGCCAAGTGAAGCGATAAACTCAACACAAATCTTACAAAACCATGCTAAAGTCCATTAGTGCTGTCACCAATGATTGTTTAAGGACAACTGAGAAGATTAATCCATTGCTGGAGGCAATGCAGGATTGCAAACCCATTATTTATGAGAAAAATCATCTACTGTTAAATTCATTTCGTTCGAAAAACTGTTGGGAAATATAAGTCTTGGAGATTTCGAATGATGGAGTCATTCTACTGTACACGAGTTAATAAAATCGTTGTAGAAAAAATTAAACAAGTGGTAAATTGCTTTTTTTTCATATGGCATAGCTATTTTTGCTAATAATAGGCAAAACAATATATAACAATATGCTTCTGTTCACTCCCGCCATTCACATTCCAGTGAACAATATGCAGACCGAAGAGGTGGTTTGGTAAATGAATATTTTTAATTTTTATTTAAAAAAACCGAATCTTTAATCTACCGTTCACAAATTCTAGGAAATCGACGAGGTAATTCTGTTGGCACTGTATCACTTACACTTTTAATCCTTCAAGTAATTTTTAGGCTTTATAAAAATTTACATTAAAAAGTATAATTTCTCTTGAAGTTTATTCGGTGAATCACAACTTCTCGCTCCGCTCGCCAACCCAGGGGGGGGCTTCGCCCCCCCCCCTCCAATCGTGTGACCGCAGCGGTGTGACTATACCCATAAACATCTTCCATATGAGCACCCCCTAATATAGTAATCCTCCATAAATATCGATATCCCCTTTATGACACCCCCTCATATAGACATCCCTTATAAATACAGGCACCTCCCCATATAGGAACCCCCGTATAGGCACCCAGCGTCCCCTAAATTTAAGAGGCCCCTGAATTTGAGCATACCCTGAATTTATCGCCTTATTTTTTTTTTTGTATAGAGAGAAATGCGCGACATTTTATTCGTGAGTTTAAATACGCAGAACATGGGAACAACAGGGAATTTTCAGGGTAAACTATGTCACTAATGCTACTTTCCACAACAATGTAACTCACGTAGACTTGTGTTCGGTGGTCTGAAACCTTTTGTCCGATCCTTTCAAAACCAAAAAAGACCGCGAAAATATTTCTATTCTGAATATAATTTTAAGCTCGAAAAAAAAATCTGTAAAAATTAAGTCATACACCTGATATTTCCAAACAGATGCATCAGCATCATCAGCGTTTATAATTCGTCATCACATCCCATAATTTTGCAGAAGCGAACTTGAAACAAAAAAAACGAAGACCAGCGCCACCAGATGCAGAAGAGGGGGGAAAATCTCCAGTCTTTGTTGTGGCTTGTGCGCTGCTGATGACCTTCACCTGGGAATGATCAATAATCAATCAGTAATTATTGCATGTCACGTTGTCCTTCCGATCAACCCTGAATCTCGGACATCGAGTGATTTTATCGAATAATTACTGACATTTGAAGGCCCATAACCTCTAAAATGGCTCACTGCTAGATAAAAATGAAATAGGGCGGAAGTTTACAGAATTATTCATCAATTGAGTGATTTATTCGTCAATTGAGGGAATAAATTTGGCAAGATGCATAGGGTTGACATGAAGATTGTCCTCCTGGGGCATGGGGCTGTGGGGAAGACCAGTCTCATGGAGAGATTTGTTAACGAGAGGTTTAACGAGTCACTGAGTTACCAAAACGTGAGTAACACGCACGAAAACATTTAACAGAAAAACATAGCGAATTCGCTAGACAATTCTATTTCTAATGAATGAGTTTCTACACTGAGAGAAAAACAAACTCATTGTCAAACAAATTTTGCTTGAGCCAACAAAATCGCTAGTTGAAAATTGCCAACAAAGAATTTGTTTGGTTCGAATTTGAAAGTCTCAAACATGAATAATTGTTCTACTTTCGACAGCAACGAAATATTTTGCTCAAGAGGTGGATAATTCACACCAGACAGTCTTTTCAGGATGAAAATATCTCACATGGAGGCAAATTCATCAGCAAATATTTTATCCTTGTTACAAGATTGCTATTATATCATTATTATTGTTTCATTTAAGGGTTCATTTCTTGCGTGTACAGAGAATGCAATTTGTTTTAACTACTAAATCTATTTTTGCGACAAACATTTTTCATTCCGGCGCACTCTGCATGTTTAGCACAAAAAATCCTTTTTTGATAATTTTCAAAAAACTTTTTTCTTGGCACAAGTAAGACTTGTTTGAGAACTTTGTCATTTTTCTCTCAGTATACGTCAAATAATTTTAAATAGCAATAATAGGTTGAATGTTTTCAATTTTGTAGTAAATACTCTCTGCACTGTGGTTTCAGACTATTGGAGCAGCATTCGCATCTAAACAAATTGAAGTTGACGATCAGAAACTAATTTTAGGAATTTGGGACACTGCTGGCAGTGAGAGGTAAATTTTTTTATCGTTTATTCGATCATGGTGTTCCATTTTTCTTCAATATCTTGGAGGAAAAAACTTCTATTCATATATTTTCAATACAAATTCTTGGGATCAAATTTTCCAAGTTTTTTTGCCAGAAACATAGAATGGAAAAACCTCAGAATGTTTATTTCCTAGGAATGCCGAGGAATTGCTATCGAAAACGTTTCATTATGAAAATCAAATTTTCTTTAAAATAGTTTCTATTTTACATTTTTTATTGAAAAAAGACGGAACTCTTCAATACAATCGGCCAAAAACTAATCGATTTTTCAATGCAAGTTCAATAGAAATCTGATACAAATTTTCTATCGAATTTGCTAAGTTTCTCTATGAAATTTCGTTGTCTGTGGAAAAATTTCATTTATTCCTAATGGAAACGATGAAAATAAGAAAAAAAATTATATTGACTTGAAAAAATCGAAAAGTGGCATTTTTCGATCTTTTGTAAGTCGTAAAAACCCTACTAGGCCTACACTTTTCACTATTTTTCAACGACACTTTTTTGGGATTCAATATGACCTTCAGCAAAATCAATCGTATGGAATTTGAAATTACTCGATTCCTTCTGTTAAATAAACAATGAATGTTATTGAAAATTGAAAATTTGGGAAAATTTCCCATCCAATACTTATGGTACTTGAAAAAAACGATGTGACCGCCCCTCAACTCAATTATGTGATCTTTAATGAAGTTTGGTATCCCGATTGAAGAATTGGTTTTGAAATTTAGATATGACTCAATGACAAAAATCTACTATCGTGGGGCACGAGCAGCAATCGTCTGCTACGAGATCTCCAACCAAAATACTTTCAATCGAGCCAAACACTGGGTGAGAGAACTCAGAAGTGTTGAAGAAAAATGCAAAATCTACCTCTGTGCCACGAAGAACGATCTGGTGGAAATGGGACACGAACCCGCCCCCAGTTTGGATACTGTGGAAATTTATGCCTCTGGAATACAGTCGAAGTTGTATATTACGTCTAGTAAAACTGGGGAAAACATTGGTAAGTATTTTCAATCTATTGCAAATTATTGCACTGCGGTGCATAGTTTAGTATGCACCGTAGAAACTTCTAGAAAATTCTAGAGGTATCTGGAAAATTTTAGAATATTCTCGAGTTTTCGAGGATATTGGTTAGATTTCTACAAAGTTCCAGGATATTCTCGAGTTTTCTAAACTATTCGAAGATATTCCCCGGTTTTCAAAAAAATTTAATAAAATTTTCAGTTTTACAGAACATTCGAAAAAATTCTATGGTTTCACGGAGAATTCGAAATAAACTAATGAATTTTCTAGAGCATTCTCAACTTTTCGAGAAAATTCGGGAAAGTTCTCAAGTTTTCTAAAAAATTCAAGAATATTTTCGGGTTTTCTATAAAAAATTGAAAGAATTCTCGGATTTTGTAAAAAAAAAATTTTTGTTCCAATTGAGCAATTTAATTTCAAATTCTGATTGACTAGCTGTGTGGCCCAGCTTCACCCCGGGAGAATAAAGCAAAATTGACTCCCCGGATTTTACAGAATTTTTGCAATTAAAAAAAAATACCTCAATATTTTCGAATTCTCTGAAACCTCCGAAAAGTCAAGAAAATTTGAGGGTTTTCTAAAGAAATCGGGAAAATTCTCGGGTAGTTTAGAAAATTCAAAAGCATTCAACTGTTTTTTTATCACAGGAATTGTTAAAAATTCTGATGTTCGATTTTTTTTTTCAAAAAATTTAAAAACTGAATCTCCCTGAACTCTCTCCGATTTCTCATTCCGAATTTTGTATTCCAGCTGAAATGTTCCGAGAGATAGCGCAGGATTTTCTATCGGATCCTAGTAATCGAGAGGAGCTCAAACAAGAGTTGATAAGTCTCTCTGTAAATGATAAGGGATCTTCCTGCTGTGCCTTCCTCCACCGGAGATAGTACTCTCAAAAACAACTCAAGAAATCCATCTTTTTATTTGCCATAAACAAACGTGTAACGAAATATTCCTCTCAAAGCAGGAATTAATTGAAGAAACTAAAAAGAGAAATTAATGGCTTGCGTAAAGGTGTGCTACTGCGTCTATTTTCATAAACGATCAATCATGCTGAAGCTTTATTTATCAATTACTTAAGGATTATGTTTAATTTTGTGCTCATACGAGTAAAAAGGCTGAAGACAATGAGAGATAATATTTTTATTACGCAGGATAGATTTATTGGAAATGTTATTTACAAATAGAAATTTAAATATCAATAAAGATTTTATAAAATAATCCTCAAGATTATTATTTTTCTCATCTTACAACAGATGAATTTTTGGAATTCATTAGTTTGTCATCTTGCATTAGAAAAAACTAATTTCGAGTTTTCAACTCGAAAATCACTGGTGTCAGGACAATTTTATATCTTTAAATGCTTTTTTTATGCTTTGAAATTGCGTCTAAGGGATAAATTAAATTTCCATGACTTCTTGAGTGAATTAAAGTCGTGGAGATATTTTTTTTAATTGATAAATTAATTAATCACAGAAGTCTCCGGAAAAATTAACGTTGCACATAAATATCTCGATTGCTCGTAAATTCCGAAGAAGACGAATCCTCCAACTGTGAAACCAACTGCTCTCAATGTGCAACCAGTGAATAATCTGAAAAAAATTTAAGAACATTGAATGAAATTGCAATTGACAATTTCTAGATTCACAAAATTGTATATTCCTGAGAGGAATCAGAGATTATTCAAATATTCTGCAAAATTTATCGCCAATTATATCAATTCAGTAGCGAAGCAGTAAAACGATTCAAGTCTACTTAGCGCTTAGCTGAGTTTTTGAGGATTATCTCCGAATCTAAGGGAGATAGCAAAGATTTTGTAATCACCTTTTTTGTAGAGTGAATTCAGAGCTAAAAAAAAGGTTATAAGAAAAATTTTGCTATCTGCCTCAGATCCCGAGAATCCATTGAAAATTGACCGCTACTGAATTATCAATCGATATTAAAAATTACCCTTTTATTCCTTTTTCCTTGTAAACTTGTTTCATAGTCGAGATAATTTTCACTTTTTTCTGTGACTGATGTGCCAGCATTATTCTCGTTTTAATTACGTCGAGGGGAGTTGTAACTGCAGCCGAAACTGTCACTAAAAATGAAGAATCATTCATATTTTGTAAATATCTCGAAATTTTTTTGGAAAACCTTTCCTATAGGAGATTTCAAAAGTTGTAAAAAAATATTTTCTATAGTTTCGGAGGTATTTACGAAATGCTGTCAGGAAAAATTTTGAAATTCCTTCGTTTTAGGAATTGATTAAAAATATATTAAAAATTGTTCTCAAGTTATTTCATTTTTCTTGAAATTCTTCTGCAAATTTCTTAAAAAATTGATTAAAAATGGGAAAATTACCAGATAAAGCGCCAGCAGTCGCTCCTTCGAAGGGAGTGCACTCCCTGCCCTTTTTCCTCTTCCACCACAGCTTCAGGTACTCCCAGAGAGGCATCTGGAGAAAGCCAAAGGGCAAATCCCTGAGTAAGGTACTTCCATATCCTCGGTAAAGAGTTCTGACCCCGAGGGCGATAGGATGGGCATTAGCCAGGAGAGCCTGCCTCCTCTGCTTTAGGACCTCCACAGGTACTTTAACAAGGCAGGAGACCTGCGAAAAACAACTGATCAAAACGAATTTACACCGTGATGACGCAAGAAGATGAAAGATGTGTGAAAAATGATGTTTCGAGTATTCTGTGGACATGTTTGAAATGAGGAATTATACGAGAATTCACTAAGAAACAGTGACTGCTAGGAAAAATTTTTGTTTCACGGATAGTTTGATACTACTGTCAGTGAGCGTTGCAATTCAATGAATTGAGTCAATTAAACTTAACTCATCTTGATGCACATCTCAATAAACTAGCGAATAAACTATATTATATTATATTATATTAATTTATTTTATTGTTTTCTTTTCAATTTTTCTTTGCGGTTAGATTAAATTCAATTTAGTGAATTCTATTCCCATTGTAGTATACAAATTGTGGAAACAGTTTTTCTCATTTCCAAATGAAGAGATATTTATGTTAAATAATATCAGTATAATATAATAATTCCTCTCAATGAAATCAGATCATGAAAATGAAATTTTTCGTTTTCATGATCTGATTTCATTGAGAGGAAATGAGAAAAATGCAGGGAGAGATGATCAGCAAGAAAATGAAAGAAAACGATTTTTTTATTTTTCTGAAAAATTTCAAAACAGATTTTCTTTAATGACGAAAAAATATCAATATGTTCCCTTTCTATGATCTAATTTCAATGGCAGAAAGTGAAGAAAAAACAGAAATACGTGATCAGCAAGAAAATAAAAATTTCGATTTTTCAATGTCTCCGGAAAGTTTTAAAATTGATATATTTTTTCAAATAATAAAGGAATACCCATTAATTCAATTTGTTCCTCACATTTTGATAGAATACATAAAAAAATAGCAAAGAATAAAAATCGGAGATGAAAAATTTTATCGGATTAATATAATGTAATAATAAAATATCATAAATACAATTATTCCTTGAATGAAATTGAGGAAAGTGTATCCACTAGTATTGCCACCTTTCGGAGCCAGTTTATGTCATCTATCAACAATGATTGGAAATCGACATAATATTCATCCAGAAAAAAAAATCCTCATTTTGAGATTTCGAAGATTTTAAATTGAGACTTGAAAATTGCAATTTTAACCTTCTGAAAGTTTTAACTTGAGACATTCAAAAATCTTAAATTGATATTTAAAAATCTTAAATTGAGATTTTCGAAAATCTTAGCTTGAGATTGATCACAAAAGTTTGATACTAGCGATACTTTTCGAATTAGTCAGCATTTTTTCATTCATATCTTTTCATTTTCCAAGGTTTTTTCGACATTGTAATCGTCTCTCTATTCTCAAAAAATAAATTTCCTCATAAGACTCAGTTACTTCCACAGACTCAGTTACTTTCCACTTCTGAATTGATTATTATCAATAATACTAGACTGCCGATTGAGCACAAATTCAACTAGAATGTTTTTACTCATATCAACTTCCGTTTAGAATTTATTTCAGATTTTAATCTTCAAAATTTAAGTTATGCATATACTACTTTAACCCTCTGATGAGAAAGTCCTACCAATCCCTGTCGGGGTGAGCGGTAGACAAGAAAATTCTGAATCTGGTAAATGAATTGAATCAAATACCGAAATTCTCCCTGCAATCGACTCAATAACTTACGATTTCAGCACACGAGGCAGCTCCCATGTGGACAAAACTGTGATACTTGACGTCGACCATCGGTTGAACTAGCACCTTGAAACCCTCATAAGTAACGAAGAACATAGAAGCTGAAATACGAGAGAAAACTTCATTACACTGAGAGAAAAACAGACATGTTGTTGCGTTTGACAACGACAAAGTTCTCAAACAAGTCTTGTGCCAAGAAAATAGTTTTTTGAAAATTATCAAAAAAGGATTTTTTTGTGCCAAACATGCAGAGAGTGCGCCGGAATGAAAAATTTTTGTCGCAAAAATAGATTTAGTAGTTAAAAAAAAATTGCATTCTCTGTACATACAAAAAATGTCATTTCTAGCACTACTCCTTCGTTATTCGATACTCCCATACGTATTTTGCTCCTGAAAAATCATTGTTTTATGCGAAACAAGAGATAGTAGTTTTTCGTTTCGGCTGTCTAATAATCACAGACAAGAAATGAATCCTTAAATGAAACAATAATAATGATATGATACCAATCTTGTAACTTAGAGATAAAATATTTGTTGATAAATTTTCCCCTAGATGAGGTATTTTCATCCTGAAAAGGCACTATCTGGTGTGAATTATCCGCCTCTTGAGCCAACTATTTCGTTGTTGTCGAAAGCAGAACAATTATTCATGTTTGAGACTTTCAAATTCAAACCAAACAAATTCTTTTTTGGCAATTTTCAACTAGCGATTTTGTTGGCCCAAACAAGACTTGTTTGACAACATGTTTGTTTTTCTCTCAGTGTAATCTTCCAAAATTTTCATTCACACCTTCTTTATAAAGGGGAAAGAAAGGTGGAAGAAAAGTTAAAATAAACATTACCCCATCTTTTTCTCATTCCAAGATATTCATCTCTCCTACAGTAAAATCCCCTCATCATATTGCATCATTCCATTTCATTCAGTATTCGTTATTCATTCAATATTTTAAAATGCAAACGAGAAACCAAAATTTTCGTTGAATTCTTTTTTGTAAAGAAGATTAACATCTACAAAAACGTTTTAAATTAGTACAAGTTACAAGGAGTGGTAACGATGACATACTAAATATTCTATATTAAAAAGCGTTTCCGATAAATTCTTGAAAGATCTATTTCTTAAAATTGTTTCCTCAAGAGAAGTGAGAGAACTCATCTTTTCTTTCTCTCGAATGAAGTAGAAGAGTTTCTCTTCTAATTCATTATTCGTTATTAATTCAATATTTTAGAAACCAAACGAGATACCGGAATTTTCGTTAAATTCTTTTTTGTAAAGAAGATTAACATCTACGAAAACGTTTTAAATTAGTACAAGTTACAAGGAGGGGTAACGATGACATACTAAATTTTCTATATTAAAAAGCCTTTCCAATAAAACCTTGAAAGATCTGTTTCTTAAAATTTTTTTCTCAAGAGAAGTGAGAGAACCCATCTTATCATATTGCATCATTCCATTCCCTTCTAATTCAGTATTCATTATTCATTCAATATTTTACAATCCAAACGAAATACCGCAACTTTCATTCACTCCTTTTTTGCAAAAAAGATTAAGACCTACAAAAAACGTTTCAACAAAAATGTCGTATGCCACTTCGATCCCCCAAAGACCCTCACAAAAAACCGAAAAAAAAACGCACCTATGGGTGCAGATCCAGCGACGACAGGTCCCAGCCCCTTGTAAAGGTTCTTGAACCCCCCAGACTTCTGAAACCCATGTTGACTCTGCAGCCTCGTCTTGACAGTGTCCATGGGGAAGAACACAACATCACAAACTACCCCAGCAGATGCACCAGACTGGAAAAATCAAAAAACAAAAATTGTTTCAAACCCGTCACCTCCTCATGTGCCTTCCTCATCCACTTCTCCATAAAAAAAATGACAAACTCACGATCATCGACGACCAAAACACGTTCCTGGGGCTGTTCGAGCCCCCGCCGGTGCCCTCATTCCCCTTGTACATTTCGAGGTTATCCCCAACTCCTCAAGAACCCGGAAAATCCCACAAACTTCCCAACCATACACTCCCCAATTTTCCAGTAATTCCTCTCCCCTCGTCCGCCAAATTCATAAAAAATCATTCACTGATAAGAGATAATCGCCCTCATGACCCATCAAAGCCCTCATCTCCCCACACACGTGCGATCACTGTTTCTACTTTACCGATCGAAATTCCAGGAAAAGTAAAAAGAAAAATGATTTTTTATTCGGGGGCGCTCGTCGCATATGTCTGCACTCTCCCATGTGTTGCAGTTTGCATAAAGAGTTGATCTGCCATTCACTCCTCAAGACCATACAGGACACTTCAGGACACTCTCACGATCCATTCGACAATAAAACGTGAATAGTCGATTCAACTGAGTGAACGATTCCTAGAAAATCGTGGAAAATCCAGTAGATTTTCCAAATTAGTTGGAGAAAATTGTTTGGGGCCATGAATTGTCATTCGTGATTATGAAAAACACCAGTGCCTCGACGTCTTCAGGTGCAGTAAACCGAGGTATTTGTTTTTGCCAAGTGAATAACGTTTTATCTATTGCGTAGCAGGTTTTTAATATTCATGGGAGGGCATGGGCGGTCGGGGGGAAGTGGAAGACACTCGTGTTTTTTTTAGTATTTCGAGATAAGGAGAAACTTGTCAAGTTTGTCCCAGAGCCATTGCATTGCCACCGCATGATTCATGTCTAGCTTCCTGTTGGCATTCCGAGATATTGAATTCATATGTTGTTTCAACTGGTAGATTATTATTCAGTATATCATTAATTTCAGGTTGAGAAAATTCTGGTTTCACCTGATGAGTGAGGACTTGTAGAGAATAGAGAGGGAGGGGGACATTTTCACTGGAGTTTATCTTGTTTTGGTTGTTGATAACTGCTTTGGGAGGAGATGGATATTGAGGAGCCTGTCACACAGGGACTGCTGCTGTTCCCTCCTCAGGGAGTTCTTGGACAGCTGAAGGTGAATAGCACTGTTCATTCTTTTCATTGAGTTTTTTTCATTACTTTATTTTGCTTTCGAACGGAGCATTGGAGTCGTTCAAATTTAAGCTTCAGATTTTTTGTGTTATATCAACTTATTATGATCCAAGAAGTTAGAATAATAACAGGGCTAAAAATTTTTTTTCCAATTTTTTAAAAAGTTTATTACGCCCACAACGTTAATTTTTAAGTTTTGTTAGTTGTTGACAAAATTTTGCGCTTTAGCACAGGTCAATTTTTTTCGGGTTTACAATAAGTATTTCCGACGGAAATTTTCCGTTCTTTCGATTGAGCCAATTAGCTCATATCACCGGAAATGGTTTAAAATCGGAAAAAAAGTAGAAAATTGTGCCTGGTACCCCCTTCCCCCACCTCGATGAGAGATTTTTTTATTTCTTCATCTAAAATGACTATTTTTACGGAACATATTAGAAAGTTAGACTGAGACTCGGATTCGTTCTATCCAAAATGTTTCTTTTCAAACTTTGTTTTGGAATTTTTTTTCCAATTTTTCATTTTTTCATTTGTTTATTTCAAAATTCATTATTTATGGACCATCAATATTTTTTTTTAGAATGAAAAAATTAATGATCTACTTCGACTTCACTTTCATCGAATAAATGGATGGTAGAGATATATATTATTTCATATTTGAATTTTCATCAAATATTAAACTCAATTAAAAATATAAAAAAATTGATTGAAGAAGAAATTTCATTGAATTTAATAAAATGATATGGAAAGATGAATTATATACTATAGAAGCAGATGATGCGCAAAATGACCATTCGGTAGCATATTGCTTTATAAAAGCAATTTCCCACTTGTTTATCTTCATTTTTGGGTGAACTGTATTTTTTTTTACCTGTTATTCCATTGTTTTCTGTTTAGAAAACGTGGCATAAGAGGTACTGCCAGCTGTTCAAGGCCAGCAAGTATGGTATTGAGAGACTAGAGATTTGGGACAGTAGAGAGGATTTTCTGGGACAACAGCTGAGTCCTAGGATCATTACGCTTGAGAATTGTGTGAAGATCGGACCCAGCAATCAGCCGAGAGTTATTGCGGTATGTGGAGATCTTTTATGGGATTGTCTGGGTTTCCAATTTTTTGCATTGATGAGATGTGGCTGTACAGGCATAAAATCTTCAAAATGGTTCCCGTACCAGGATTTTTGGTTATTTATTTTATGTTATTTTTTTGACACTTCCAATTTTTTTATTTTTTTGCTGAAAAATCGGTATTTAAAAAAAACATCCATTTTTTTTCGTCAATATGTTATGTGTGCGGAAACCACAATTCATGTCAAATGGAAATACATTTTTCCAAGAGCTTTCATTTGATGGTAATCGAGAATTTAATTGAATTGGCCCATTTTTAATTATTCGACTGAATATTCACTCATTTGAAGGATAATCCAATGAATAATAGCGATGTTCGGTCATTTTCAAGACTTGTCCCACTGAAAAAAATAATAACCGCCGAACTGCGGCGAAAGACAAACTTTAATTGGCGCCAAAATTCCTCTTATTTTATTGACAATTTTTGGTGAAAATTTGAGATTTAGAAAAATTAGCTTTCTTTAGTAATTAGCGATTGAAAAGAAAACGGTTTCTCCTATGAACCCTTAAGATCATGCTGAAATTGAAGATAATGCTTTGTACGACATTTCATTTTGAAGGGATTTTCATGTTATTTGAGTGTGCCAAAGGGCGATTTGATAGCTTGAAACCCCGCAGAAATATTGAAGTCAATTTGGAGAAAAATTTTTTTGGACAAAAACTAGCCATTCCCAAAAAATTACAGCTCGCTCAATTATCAATATTTTTTAATTTTTCTGTATTCAAAATTTCTGTCTAATCGCCATCTTGTCAGAAAAAAATTGAGACAAAAATTTCCAGCACGCCAAAACCCGTTTTGGTCTGCTGATTTGGCGTGGGTCTGCTCACATACTACTTTAATGAACCTAAAAAATCATTTGCCTGCAGGTAGTGACCCGATCCCTGACCCACCACTTTGGCTGCATAACCGAGGCGGAAACCCGCGACTGGATAACTGCCTTCCAACAGGTTGCCTTCCCCGACCTGCCCTCCACCGAGACCATCGAGGAGGACAACGACCTCTACTGCACCAGTGGCGAGGGCATCTTCTCGGTGAAACTAGTGGAAACAGACGCCTCGAAACGCTGTCGGCTGGAAGAAAAAAACTACACCCTCCTCGTTGCAGACACCGAGATGAGCCTCCTGGACGGCGAGTCCGTCCTCTTCACCTGGCCCTACCACTACATCCGAAAGTACGGGTATGGCGAGGGAAAATTCACCTTCGAGGCGGGGAGAAAATGCGAGTCAGGGGAGGGATCATTTCGCTTGGAGCACAGCAATCAGCAGGAGATCTTCCGGTGCATCTCGTCGAGGATGAAGTCAATGAAGAAGCTTCTCCGAGGAGAAATTGCTACTCCCGGGGTGGACCTCAATGATGCCCAGTATCATGCTGCCCTGTCCATGGAGGCTGGCTCCAGGTCCCCTCTCCCCCCGACCCCAACACAGAATTTAATTGATTTGGACTATTCGAGTTCGGCGCAGAATTCCCAGAGGACGATATTTCCGAGCTCGACGTCAACCTCGAGTCTTGACTCGGTTCCTTTCATCAGGAGTCCACCTCCCATTGTGGGCTCCAAACCCACGAAACCGCCAAGGAAGTTCTTCATTCCAGGTGAGAGAAAGAATTTGCTGTTTACTGCCACGTATGAAGCAAGTGGCCCATTGCACAGGTCTCAATCAAGTACAGCTTTTTTTGCTAAAAATTAGCAATTTGCGGCCGAATAGATTAATCGAATTGAAACAAAAAAGTGCATATTCGGTTCTCTGCCATTAATTTCAGTTTAGTAGGGATCCTTCCTGAAGTTTAACCTCAGGAAAATTCAATAGTTTTTTAAAAGAACATTTGAGTTAAATATTTTTAGCGAACTGAATTTATTTTAAATTAGACACATTGAGTGAAAACAAAATGAATGTAGAATTCGATATCACAAGAGTTCATGCTCTTGAAACATCAATGTTGATGTCTCCTCGGTCGTAAGTAATTTACTTAAATTTTATTTTTCTCCTGAATAGTTTTCCTTCAACTGGACTTAAGACGATATAAATTTATTTCTAATGAATTATCAATTTGCTTTTGAATGGAAAATTAGGGAAAAAGATATACCAACCATGATCCCCAAATGTCCCAATGGCCAACATGAGCTCCATATGCCCTGGTTAAACATCTAACATACGCCGACTAAATTAAGATTAAATGGGTTTAAACTTCCACTGAACATTGATTAAACCTTGACGAAACCTTGGTTAAACCCTAATTAACCTCCGACTAAACCCCGACTAAACTCCAACTAAATCCTGACTGAACGATGATTAAACCTCGATTAAATGATTTTTAAGGCTATAATTTCAAAGCAAATGATGTAATCGTCACTATCTTCGAACTCGACCGAGATAACATCCGAACAACTATTTTAAGCCATAATTTAAAAAATTTTGACGATTATTTTTTGAATGATCGTCTAAAAACTAAATTTGAAGAAAAAGCTCACATACATACATTCGGACATGATCTAAAAACAGCATAGTCGAGCTCCTGAGATCACAATTAGTCATGGTCACACAAAAAAATGGAAATTTCAGATTTGACGAATACACTGCATCCATTTGGAAGTAAAAATTCAATAGAAAATCTTTGCCTATTTGCTAGAAAATTCTATTTGAATTCCAGGGTAAACAAGTAAATTTCTGAACGGGGATTAGTTTCTGGCCGAATTCAACTTGCATTGAATAATCCATAAATAAAGTAAAAATTGTACTGGTTATTTCACCTTTCAATAATGGAGTTGCACAACCACAATCATGTGGTTGCAATCACCTGAGCTCGAAAAGTTTTTTTCATCAAGATGTTTAAAAGTTGATTTCAACATAATAAGAAGTGGGAACACAAAACACTAGTTGAACTTTCGTTTTTCATTATTTCAAGGTCTACGCGAGCCCAAAACCCCAGCAGAACTCCCAGACATCGGCTGTGGTATATACCGTAGACTAGCATCTTACACATCCCCAGAGGCCACAAGAAAATTATCCCAGACATCACCATCCCCTCAGGACGACGAGAAGCATCCCTACGACCTCGTGGAGGTTCGAAACAACGCCTGGAGGACCCACGGTATCGACACTATCGTCCACACCGAGAGAAAGGACAGGCCGAACGGCCAAAACCCCAGAGCAGTCTCCGACGACGAGAATACCAATGAAAATAAAAATCCCAAAAAAGATGATACTGACGAGGATTGGGTTGAGGTGAATGTCGAGGAGTCTGGGGATCGTCTGAACGACGACGAGGACTCTGACTGTCAGTACGAGACGATGATCTCCAATAGCACGGGTTTATCGACGACTGAGACCGTCACAGCATCACCGATCATTCATAATAATGTCGCAAAGTCTGATTCCACTGCCAATTACGATACCCTTCAGCATTTTGGGTCTCTCCACAGGCTGAACAATCCTGGATATAAGGCACCCAACTTGAGTCTCAGTTTACCCATGAGAAATGCATCCTCACAGTGCATTTCACCGACTGTTTCTCTTGAGGACAGCAGCCCCTCGTGGAATGATTATGATGTGGTCGAGGACGTGCACTCCATTAGATTGGCTGACGACAGTAGCAGGGGGTATGGGGTGATAAGGAAAAAAGCGAATGCTGCGACTAATGTCAGTGCAGGGCCTCAGCATAGGATCTTCAATAACAGTGAATATGCCATTGTGTCGAAGCCTAAGAGAGTTTAGTATTTGATTTTTACATCACGAGATGATTTTCAGACGAAGGAGGCTTTAATTTTTAAATCTACTTTTGAAAAATATCTCAGAATTTGAGTCTGATGAAATTGGGATATTCGTTGTGAAGTCATTTTTAGTAAAAAAATCATTGCTAAATGAGGGATTCAAATGAAATTTACTTATGCAGGTTTGGGAGAGTCTGAGAATTTTGTGAGAATTATTTCCAAAATATTTCAAACATTTGTAGATCCACAGAAAAATGCCAATGCGGTCTAGTTTTGGGGAAAAACCCGAATATTTCGTGGGAATTATTTTATAAATATCTCTGAGACTAGCAGATTTGGAGGAAAATATCAACAGAACAATTTTATAAACCGTGAAATTGCCCACGAAAAATTACTTATTAATTAAAGTTTCGCCATTTCCCTGAGATAATTATCAAAAAATGAGGTAATAAATCAATTCGCTCTAGTTTTGTAGAAAAATTCAAATATTCCATGGGGATTATTTTATAAATATCTCTGAGACTAGTAGGTTTGGAGGAAAAAGTCAAATCCATAAAATTTTCCACAAAAAATGTCTTCATACGTGAAAATACAACTACATATACTGATATATATTTTCATGTATATGATTTATATATGAAAATTTCTCAATTTCCTTTAGATTCGGAGATATTCAGTGAAAATTCCCCTATCACTTTACCGGTAAATGAAAAAAACACCTAATTTCTCAATTAATTTACAACTACCGGTGAGAATATATATATTTTTTACGCGTTTTCAAGTAATAGTCGTGCTCAATGAATGATCGAAAAAAAGACGTACTACTGCATTTTTTATATTCCAATCTGAGTGCCAATGTTGTACTATTTTTTATTTGATACTAGAATTACGGAATCAACTACGATCGGTTTTTTTTATATTTTTTTAGGGTGTCGAATGAAAGACATGAGTATTTGTGTAACGGTGGACCAAAGATCTTTAACTTCACACCAAGTGATAAGATAATTGTTTAACGATCCTGTATTGGACGGTCCAAAGTGCCTAATTGTATGTGTTGACGAGTCTATTGACTTGTGATGATGATTTTTTCTTATTCACTGTATTGATTAGGGTAAGATTGTATTATATTTTATACGATGTTGAAAACATTTTGTAGATAAGTGAATTTAATAAATCTATTGTTACCGAGCAAGCGAAATAAATTATCTTCATTATTTCGATTCTCGCCAATTGGAAAAATAACAAAAAATCTAATGCATTTTTCATTCACATTTGTTTAATGTATAGACTGAATTATTCTATAAAAATTTATACAATCATTACATACAATCATAATTACAGAAACTTTTTACATATTTAAATTGATTATTTACGAATATAAAGGGAAGTGAAATTATACTTTTTTGTTTCATTTTTAATGATTTTTTTCAGATTTGAAATTGAGATCTGACTCATTCAAATTCCATCATCTGTTCAGCAGATGTTGATGATTCAAAAAATTTAATTCACTTCATCTTCCCCAAAATCAATATTACGAGATGTTTTTCGTAAATATCTCGGAATCTAAAGGAGATGTCGACATTTCTGATCGAACCTTTTTCGTAGATAATTTTAAGAGCTACAAAAAAGGTTCTGCGGAAAATGATCGTATCTCCCATGGATTTATCAAAAACTGAATGCAAGTTTTTCCAGTTTCTCTCTAAATGGTGAATTCATTACCGATCTATCTGCAGCGGTTTTTCTTCCTCTATCTCCACAGCTTCCTCCTTTTTAATTTCAATGTTCTCATCTTTACTCACAACTTCGAAAGTATCAGCTCCATAAACTTGAAGTCTCCTCACAGTGTGTCCCTTATCCTTCATGATCTTCTCGATATTTCTTTTAGCGGGAATTGATCCGAACCAGCCCAAATTGTCAGCAATCAGGTGATTGTTTTTACACCCATCACAACGAATGATGACAACTCCCTTCTCATAAGCTAACTTGGTCATTGTCTTCGAATTTTTCGTGTCACATTTTTTGCAGGTGAACATTATCCTCATTTTCGCTTCTACTTTGGCAATTGGGTGTTTTGTCAGGGGTTCTTCCTTGATCGGTTGCTCCTGGGGACTGTCATTTACTTGGGTTGAGAATTTCCTCAGGATTCCTTCGCTCTCTAGAGTCTGCAGGAGAGTCTTAGGAGCATTTTCGGGGAGGACTGGAGCTCTCTCCAGGGATTTCACTGGGAACAGCCTCAGGGAGGCTCTCAACATCTGCCTCCACCCAAACATGATCTAAAATTATATTTTCAGATTTTTTATTCAAGAAATGGCAGCAATCGTTGGACTGAAGAGGAATGCAAATGTACTCTGCAATTTTAGAATGAGAAAATCGTAATTTTTTATGGATGTCAGGACAATTTTTAAATCTACTCGCAATTAATTATTCATGAGGAACTATTTTCTGATAAATTTGATTATGAAAATCAGATTCTTCAATTTTTGTGCAATTTCAGAGTGAGAAAATCATAATTTTTTAAGTACGTCGACAATTTTTAAATTTACTTGCAATTAATTATTCGTAAGGAACAATTTTTTGACAAATTCAATTATGAAAATCGCATTCTTTTCTTAATTACGGGAGACGAGTGAGTCTTTTTTAATCGTCAATATCTCGATATAATGAACTAATTTTGATGAATCAAGTCGCATTGTAAAGTTTAAAAGAATACATTGAAATTGAAAATGAATAATTAGACAATTTCACTCTGAGGTGTTGATCTTATTGACGATAAAAGACAGGCCGTTTTACGTCACTCTTCTTTGATCACAGAACGTTTAATATTTGGTTATTTTCTATGAAAATTTCAATTTATAAGTTGGCGTTGTTTGTGCGATTTTTCGGGAGTAGCGCTGAGAATACGAATAAAATCTTAAAATAGAGAAAATTGATTGCACAATGGGAAATGGACTTTAAAAATTCTTTAGACTATTCGAATATAAGGACTAGTTTTACAAATAATAGACTTATTCTCCATAAATCAATAAAAATAATTAATTTTCTAATGCAAAATTAATCTTTTCTCATTGAATACAAATAGGAAGAAGAAGAGAATATAAAAAGGAATTCAAAGCCGAGAAAACTAAATCAAAATAGAATAATCGGAAAAATAGGATAATTACAATTGAAAAGGTTTTGAATAATTCCAAACCTAACCTCTACTTTCCAACCTATCAAATTGCCTTTTCTCGTGAAAATAATAAATGTCAAGTCTATTTAATAATTGACTCACCATCAGTTGATAAAACCAATGAACTTTCCCGTGCTAAAAGGCACTTTTCCCCTTTAATCAATCACCAAAACGAGATTTTCGTACTCCGAGTGAAATTCACGTTTTCCCTTGCGTAATTTTTCGTAACTAGCGGCGCCATGTGCTCCTTCAAGAAAGAAACAAAAGTTTAGAACCGAAAAAATTGAATAAAAAACAGATCGGAATCTAAAGTTACCTAAAGGATTCGTAAAATGACAACAAAAATCCGAAAAATTATTCCGACCTCTTAATAATATTTTTCTCCAGGGAAATTTCTTTTTTGATCGATAAAGAAATACTGTAGTTTAAACTTCGTCGCGTCACTGCCTTCCAATGTGGCGACCTGTCACGTGACCGAAAAAAACCAACGAAACGCTTAGAATTTCGGTGGAGGCGGTAGTGGGGGTGAATAGTACGTTTGGTAGTAAATAAAATAAACGAGGTTACGTTACCCATTGTGAGTCCATTGACGATGTAAACAAGACGCACAAGCTTTCTGTACGGTGTAGGCAGGGCGGGAAGAGTGTTTGGTGTCCTAAAAAGTCGTAAAACCGTGTGAATTTTCAATTGTAAAGTGTCTGTGGGAACTTGGCGACTGTTGTAATGCTGTGAACGAGTGTAAATAGGAGCATTACTACGCTATGGAGAGGACGGAACGCTGACCTGATCGTGTTCAAACCGAAGCTTGGGTGCTGTCTCTTTACAAAAGGTTTGATAAATCTATCTATCCACTAGAAAAAATAAGTCATTAATTATTCCCCGAAACTCTCAATCATTTTCCCATCTTTGCTGAAAATAAAAACATTACGAAAATTCTTTCATTGAGAAAAAAACAGTATTTTATTTTTAGAACGATTTGAGAAGGGGTGGGGCAAAATGGTATCGGAATGCTGATGGAGGAATAACTCCTTAAAACGAAAAATTGAAATAGAATTTAGTAACTTTTATTATTCTCTATCCACTAGAACAAATAGCTATTATTAATTATCACTCGAAACTCTCAATCATTGTCCCATCTTTCCTAAGAAAAACGACATTACGAAAATTCTTTCACTAAGAAAAACAGTGGTATTTCGTTATTTTTAGAACGATTTCAGAAAGGGTAGGGTAAAATATTATCAGAATGCCTATGGAGAAAAACCTCCATACACCACAAAATCGAAACAAAATTTATTCACTTCTATTATTACTATGAAAAATAATACTAGATATAAATTCTACAAATTTCTTTGATTTTAGTTGGAAAAAAAATCAAGTCTCTTAAGTTGTTAGTGCACATCAGGAAATCTGGTCTAATTTTGAACGATGAGAAGTGAGCTTTACCAGAATATTTTGGTTTTAGACACAGAATTAAGAAGATTTCTATTTATTCACTAGAACAAATGGCTATTATTAATTATCACTCGAAACTCTCAATCATTGTCCCATCTTTCCTAAGAAAAATGACATTACGAAAATTCTTTCACTAAGAAAAACAGTGGTATTTCGTTATTTTTAGAACGATTTCAGAAAGGGTAGGGCAAAATATTATCAGAATGCCGATGGAGAAAAACCTCCATACACCACAAAATCGAAACAAAATTTATTCACTTCTATTATTGCTATGAAAAATAATACTAGATATACATTCTACAAATTCCTTTGATTTTAGTTAGAAATAAAAATCAAGTTTCTTAATTTGTTAGTGCACATCAGCAAATCTGGTCTAATTTTGAACGAAGAGAAGTGAGCTTTACCAGAATATTTCGGTTTTAGACAGTGAAGTAGATAAATTTCTATTTATCAACTAGAACAAACAACTCATATTAATTATTCCTTAAAACTCACAATCATTTTCTCGTCTTTTTGACTAAAAACAACACCACGAAAATTCTTTCAGTAAGAAAAAAAGTGGTATTTTGTTATTTTTAGAACGATTTGAGAAGGGGTGGGGCAAAATGGTATCAGAATTCCGATGGAGAAAAGCCTCCTTAAACCACAAAATCGAAACAAAATTTATTAGCTTTCATTATTGCTGTGAAAAATAATAGTATTTTAGCTGGGAATGAAAATTAAGATTCTTCATTTTTTCTTGCACATCAGAAAACGATGAGGCAAAATGGGATGAATCGGGTCTAATTTTGAACGAAGAGAAGTGAGCTTTACCAGAATATTTTGCTTTTAGACACAGAATTAGATAAATCTCTATTTATGGACTAGAACAAACAACTCATATTAATTATTCCTCGAAGCTTTCTCATTTTACAATGCTTCCTACAAAAAAATATAACGAATATTCTTTCATTAAGAAAAATAGTGGTATTTCGTTATTTTTAGAATGATTTGAGAAGAAGTGGAGCAAAATGGACTCAGAATACTGATGGAGGAAAACTCTTTGAAACAAAACTTTGAAACTGAATTTATGCGCTTTCATTATTGCAATGAAAAATAAAACTATGTACAAATTCTATAAATTCCGTCCATTTTAGGTAGAAATAAAAAAAAAGATTCTTAATTTTTTATTGCGACCAGACAAGAATGGGACAAAATGGGATAATTCTGAGAAGAGAACGTTACCAAAATCGTTTGATTTTAGGCACCGAATTACATAAATCTCTATTTATCCACTAGAACAAACAACTCATTTTAATTATCCCTCGAAACTCACTCATGTTCCCACCTTTCCTACAAAAGACATCACGAAAATTCTTTGATTCTTTGATAAAAAAACTATTTTATTATTTTTCTAGTGATTTAAGTAAAGGTGGGACAAAAATTGCCAAAAGAAATGGAGTTCCATCCATATAGATATAAAATCTCTGTCATTTTTTTTTCGCCGTGGCTATTCGCACTACCACATGCAGCGTGTGACACGTAAAAATTCATATATGGGTCGGCCAATAGTACAATACGCAGCGTGTCAACCAATCATCCTTAAAATCATCTGCACTATATTTCGAGACCCGCTCTTGCATTCGGGATTAAAAAACATTCACATCTTGTCTGACATCTCTGTTATGAACTCTGATTTTTAACTTTGAATGCAGAGTTTAAAACCAGAGTTGTGACAACATTGTCCAGTGCGGTCTAGGAGTCTCCCCTGGTTGGGAAATCATCCTTAGAAACATCTGCACTATATTTCGATACACCCGCTCCTGCACTCGGGCCTTGTATGAATTTCTGCGTGCGACACGCTGCATGTGGTAGTGCGAATAGCCGCGGCATTTATTTTTCGTCAAGTGTAATTGTTAAATCAATCAATCAACATTATTATTCGATAAAAAAAATTAAAAATTTTGTTAGCTTGGTCAACAACATCGATGTTTGGGCATGAAAAATCTGTTTTCGATTAATCGACAAACATCGCCCATCCCTACCCCAAACAAAAGTCGAATTTCCTTTCGATCCCCATTTGTATTGATTAATTTATATTCATTTAATGTCCATGAACTCATAAACGACAATAACCTCCAATGAATGAACAAATACTAAATTTATCAATCGCTCAATCATACGTTAACCAATAGGGAACATACGTATTTTTTTTTCTTAATCTAGAAATTGTAACAATCTCCCCAATAATTTTTTGAACCGTCCAATTCGTATTTTTCAATGAGAAATCGTTGATTGAAAAGTGCACTTTTTGGGCGCCTCGAGTGGGTTGTGATGTCACAGCACTGTAGTCGCTATGCCTCTCACTCACTCTCGTAGCGGGAGTCGACAGAGCCGACGCGCGCTGTCTCTCTCGTACGTTAGCAGCCTAGTGTGACTGCCGTGCTATGACGTATCAGCGTCCGAGTGCCCCGTTCGAGCGATCAACTTTCAACTCATTATTAACATTAATAATCCCTATAAAAATCAAATTTTTTTCCATGGAATATTTTTTTTATGACCCATAGAACAAATTGAAAGGGGAATTTGATCAATTTGAAAAAAATGTATGTTCTCTATTATTAAGTTCTCAATGAACGACCCGTCATCATTTGCCCCAGAAATCATGAACCCCGGATACCTCTTCCAGATGGACTACGATTCCGCCTCGAGTTGTGAGGACCGTCTCCTGGACCTAGAGTCCTCCAAGCGTCACCGCAAGCGTCCCTCCCACCCGAAAAAGTCCCTGCGCCTCTACCCCACAGACCCCAATACCCCCTCCAAAGACATCCCCTCGACCTCCACCTCCACCCACCTCCCCGCCCCGCACCCCCGGGCCTCTGTAAAAATAATCGAGCGTTCCCTCTCCTCTCAAGTGATGGAGTACTACCACAAGTACTCTCAGTCCTCGAACCTGGACCGATATTTCTCAATGCCAGGTTCCACCTTCAGCAATGAAGCCTACAAGAACTACCTGAAGCCCCCAGAGTCCTCGAAGCCCTGGGACCAAATTCGAAAGCACCCAATCAATCCCGAGAAACCCTCTCTAATCGCAGAGATCCCGAGGGAACGGCGACGATGGGCGCGTCCCCCCCTGATCGGTCAGCCCTCAGGAACAACCTCCGACCCCCTCCCCCCCACCTATCAGGACCCCCTGGAGTCGACAGGAGCGACTCCAGAGCCGGAAGAGAAGACAAACCCCCTGCAAGACCCTGAAATCATCTCCGAGGACAGGGGCAACTTCCGAAAGGAGAATTCCTCCCTCGAAGCTGCTGACAGAGAAGTCAAAGCAGCCTCTCCAACATCGAGTATCACCTCCCACAAGCCCCTGGAATGGGACAGTGGAGCAGACGTTGGATACAACGCCCTCCCCAGGAGCAAAGAGAAGGATCGAAACATGCTCTGTACAATTGAACGAATGGCGCTAGCGAGAGGCCTGTGCTCCGCAGCCCTTCGACTGGACCCCGAAGGTACGACTGGTTCCACTGTGGACCCTGGAGGTACCCAGAACAATTCCCCCTCGAGATCCACTCGTAGACAATCGAAACCAGACGCTCATTCCACTCGAATGATCAACGATGCCTCTGAGTCCGAAGGAGAGATCGAGATAACTCCAATAGTCAAGACCAATCTCCCAGGTATCATCACTGGAAAAGTCACTGCAGGCGAAGAGATTCCCGTAAAGTCCCTGGTCCCCAGAAAATCACTTGAGGGAAAGAAAACACCTGAGCTGGTGGAAACCCCGAAGACATCTCAACCAGGAAAATCCAAATTCACAACTGAGAGATTCCCGAAGCCTCGTGATCTCAAGGGCTTTCAGGATTCTTCTATGAAGAAAAGCGCCTCGATGAACATTCTGGCCATGCCCCTGACGACGATTTCCCTCAAACGAAGTCAGAGTGAATTGAATTTACGAGAGAATGAGGAGGGCAAAGCGTCTCAAGCCCCCTTGAACTTTGCTTCCACTTCCTCGATAGCAACCATCGTCAATAAACCCCTGACCTGTGACAAGGACATTCAGACGAATCTCCAGGAGTCACTGCGGAAGGAATCGATTGGAATTCAAGTGTCTTCTATTCTCGAGGAGGATAAATCACCAGAACTACCAAAACAACAAGACAATTTCTCCAGCAATTCAAACAATTCATCACCTCCCCAAGAAGATGACAAACCCCCACTACCAAAGAGAATCAGCAGTCTCTCCCAGCATCCCCAGTCGATCCTAAAGAACTCGGGAAGTGCTTCTACCCGGAGTAAAAAGGACTCTCGATCAGAGAGAACCTCCTCAGACACACCATCAGAGACAGATGCAGGTCGAGCCTCTCACAGTTTCGAGTACTTTCCAGGTCACGTTTACCAGAACGTCCCTGGTGAGAGCACCTCTCACGTGTCCTCAGTGGACACCAGGCGATCTCACTCAACAATGCCAAACACATCATCAAGCCTCGACGAAAAGCTCTGGGGGGAGTCTGACAGTCTCCTCCAAGACCTAGAACGAAGCTTGAACATCTTGAAGAGTCTCGTGGACGCCAACAAGTGCGACAAGCACGTGAAGAAACGACTGATCCATCATGTCATCAAGAGACTTGTCTCCGCCAAGTACACGGACGACAAGATATCCCACGACCTGGAGGAGACAGTCCCCTGGAATCCAGACAACGCTCGGAATAAAGTCTACAGGACTGAGATCATTCAGGCCCTAGCTAAGAAGCAGAAGCCATCAAACAGTACTGAGGAGTCCTCTGAGGACTGGAAGCCGCGGAAGACTTCGTCCTACTCGAAGAAGCCTCAGGATAACTCTAGGGTGTTGAAGGAGATGATTCAGCTCGTGGCAAGCAGCGAGAACAGCGATTTGTTTGAGGGGAGACATACGGACAGAACAGATGGCATGCAGGACGGGAGGAAAGCGAGGATGGGCCTGAGGAGTGAAGACAGACATCGTCACCTCCAACGAGAGGTCCCTTTGGACACTGAGAAGAGCGAGAGCTCTGAGTGCTTTCTCCCCCAGCAGATGACGTACAAGAGCAAGGTAGAGAACAAGACTGGATCTGTTGGCAAGACGCCATCAAGCGCGAATACCACGACTGAAAGAACAAGAGGGGGAGATGATAAGATGGACTGGAGGCTCCCCACGACCATGTCTGAGAGACGATTTGAGCTCGAGAGGTGCAACTACAGGGCCGGGGCGACAACGAGGCTGATAGACTACGTCGAGATGGAGAAGAAGAATCAGCTGGTGTGGATCAGTAACGAAATCAATCATCTGTCGAATCTTAAGAAGCTCCTGGAGGAGCCGAAGAGATACAAGGGGTCCAAGAGCTCTCCGAGGAAGGGTGGGAACGAGGGGAAGAATGATTCTGATCAGAATTACTCGGGGAGGATTAACGACGAGTGGTCGTCTCATGGAAATTTGGCGGAGAGGAGGGAGAAGACATCGAGGAAGAAGAATAGCTGCACTCAGACTGGGGGTAAAGGCTTCTCCAAGAGCGATGAGGGGGGAATTGTCGAGGGAATGGAGGGGCTGATGAGGAGTGCTGGGAGGGAGGTCTTGAACGCTTGTGCGCAGACGGAGACGCCTGAGTCCTCTAGGGATCCCTCGCCCACGTGGTCTCCCAGAAGGAATTGTCTTCTTCACGGGAATAAGAAGGGCGCCTGCAAGTGTCGGAGACCGAATTCTTCGTCCTCGGAAGTCGTTGAGATGAGTAGGATCAGGAGGAGTGAGGAGAGGAGACCTGTTGAGAGGGTCAGCCAGGACTCGGACACGAAGAAGGAAGTGAAGAATAGGTTGAATGACAAGTGCAGGTCTGAGTTTAATGTGACTGAGTATCAGGATGAGTTCACTGGGACGAAATTGAAGGGACATTGCAGGGGGTGCAGGTGTGGTGGGGATATCGTGGGGTCTGAGAGGGATGGGGAGAGGTTTTTTGATAAAAACACTGGGAACGATGTGGGGACGACTCGCGGAAGGAAGTCTGATGAGCAGAGAGGGAAGTCTGATGAGTGCACTTGCGATGAGAATTCACGGAGGGATGACGAGAAGAGGGATAGGAGGGAGGAGGGGAAGGAAGTGAGGAGCTGTCGTACCTGCGGAACTGTCTACACGTCTGTTGATAAGACATGCCAGTGTAATTTGAGTTACGTCAAACCGATTGCTTATGAGTTGAATTTTAAGGATACGCGGAGGAGGAGCCCACAGGGGAGGAGGGGATCCTCTTCGAGGGGGGAGACGACTACTGAGGATGGGCACTCTTGTAAGACTGAGGATTGCTATTGTGGAACTCCTCAGCCTCAGTTAAAGGTCGGTTTCAGATTTTTATTCAGTTCAAGGGGAGATTTTTGTGGGAATATTTTTTGGTTTTTCGAGGAAAAAGTTTTAAAAGTACTATAGCTTTTCCCCGTGGAAAAATATATAAATTATATATAATATAGGCCAATTTAATGTATTCTTCGAATATACATAAGATTTATATAAAATATAAATTTATATGTTTCATATTTATTTTATGTTTTATATAAATTTATATTTTATATAACTTTTGTATATAAATCAGGCCAATTCCATACATAAAATATATAATTTTCAGAATATATATTTTTCCGCATGGGTCTGAATGGAATCATTGTAATCGTTCAAAGCAAATTCGTTTTCATTTTTTCGCATAGATTTAGATCACTTGAAATATCGGAATAAGTCGTCGGATAATCAGGAACATCATTTTCATCTTCATATGTTGGAAGGTCATGAAAAGGGTTCCAAAATGAAAGCAATTAAAATTAGAGAAATTATTGTCAAATCAACTTTTTATCGGTCAGTCAATTCCTCGAAAACTTAATTTTTTCAGTTAGAATTTTAGAGATACTTTAACATTGGAAATGATAGAGATCTGTCATCACTCATGATCTAGAATAAAAATTGATTTATTTACCTAATTTTTCTTTTTTTCCGACAGGATTATTTAACTAAAAATAAGCCGGAATTCGTTGATAAGGTCGAGACCAGGAAGAGATACATGTCAGAGTTATCGCAGTTGAGACAGTTGAAGAAGGAGAAAAGAATGCAATTTCTTGCCATGGCTTCACCGAGTAGTTTAATTGCGTCACCACGAAATTTTAAAACTACTGGTAAGTTCCATAAAAATGGGCATAATTATAAATTACAATTAATATTATTTGATTACTCGGATAATCCATAACTCGAGGGGATGATATTTCAATTAATCAAGCAATGAATAATATGGACCAAGAATTACTAATTATTTTACTAATCGACAATTGGTATCACTCCTGAAATTACCAATTGATCAGTTTAGTGGATCGATTTTGATACCCATTGATGACTAATCATAATAATAAATAATTATTTCGGTAAATATTGGGGAATTAATGATTATTGCCAATCTCTGGTTGGGGAGTCCTCGTCTTCCTCTTGTTGAAAATTGTCAATTCCAAATTTTAAGTTGCTAAAAATTTCAACATTTTTTACCTTAAGGAACTTCCGCAGTAAATTTTGGGGCTATGAAGTGGGGGAAAATATCAAAGGTTCCGACACTCCGCTGCATGCTTTGAAAAAAAAGAATGAAGTGACGTAAAGTTCACGGGTGTATTGAAAATTCGTCGTTTAGGTTTCTTTACACTTATTATTCATGATTAATCAATTCCAAATGATTTTTATTCCAGAATATTATTTATCTGAATTTTTTAACAATAAAAATTTTCATGGAAGATTTGACAACCACGCATTTTTGTTCGACGCAGTTGGTATTCTTGTGTTCGAATAAAATCCTATACTGTACTATAGAATCTATAGTATATGCTTTGGCTGAGTTCATACGATCGCCTCCGTCGTGCCCACTCTAATCTCCCTCAACGTTGCCATGTTCAGCCATCAGTTTACTCTAACGTAACTAAAATCCCTAACTATGCCATATATTTTCAATAATTATAAATAATCCCTGTGGTGACGGTTAATGAAATTGTCGGGATATGTTCCTGAAATATATACGGTTCTATTCGTGAACCGTTTGGATTTTTATTCCATTGTCGATTATTTTTTTGTGATTTTTGAAAAAGTGGGGCCATAAGACTCTGTGTTAATGACACATTTTTCATATTTTCTCCTCAAAAATCTACGTGATTCAGCGTTTTGGGACTTCGGGAGGATATTTGTAATCACTCAGAGAATATATTCTCAAAATTTCAATTCTGTAGTCCCTTTCCTTCTACTCCCATATACTTACTGCGGAAGTTGCTTCAATTTCGGGAGTCATTTACTAACAGTTTAAAAAAAGCTTATTTTTCGTGAATTTTTTGCACCCATCCTTTTCTCAGATATTTGCTAAATGATTCGGATGCCTTAATTAATAGTACAATGTGTCATCATTTTTTCCAGCCAAGAGTCAGAAAAAAATAAGCGATGAGGAGATGAAAATGAGATTACGTCATCGGTACCTGAGGCTCAATGAGGTGAGGAACAAACGCCGCCAGAAGGAGAAAGAAGAGGCTGCTAAGAGAAATCACCTCATGGCCAAGATATTCTGCAAGAAATTGCAGCAGAAAGTTCTTAGGGGAGAGGTTGATCTGTCGCAAAGCGTCAGTGTTATATCGAATTTATAACGATGTAGGATTGTTTGAGATGGAGATATTTAACGATAAATCGAAGCGATGATGCAAATTAGATGAGTACCCACCGAAATAATGCTCACCGAGCGTCATAGTTTTATTGTGTGTTGGTTTTTTAAAATATGTAGTTCCTGTATTCGCGAGTGACCTTCCAGTTTTAAATAGACGCTAGAGCATAGACTGAAATATTTTTTATGACGATAAAATATGTATGTATTTTCCGGTTGGAATAAAGTTTTTTAATAAAGGAGTATGAGATGGAAGATGGGTTTTAATGAATCTTGTACGTGGATGGTCTTCCACGAATTTCACATTATCTGGCACCGGAGACCGGCAAGAAAATAATTTTTATTATTAATATTTCATTACCATCTCAATGGTTGATGAAAAAAATTGAATGATTTTTTTCGTAATGAATAATGATACCAATTGTATTTTTCATTGCGATATTAATGGGAAATGAAAATGAAAAAAGAAACAAATAATTTATCAATGAATAACGGTACAAAATTTATTTTCATTATCATATCAATGAAAAATGAAAAACCGAAAATCCCGATTTTTTTCGTCATGAGTAATGGAAATAAAATCATTTTTCATTATCATTTAATTATCGTAGTAATTATATCCTCTCACGGCGCGAAATGTGACACTGAATAAATTCTCTTCTTCAGGGAAAAATGATCGCCGTATGACGGACCTAACTACCTAATTGCTAATTTTTTGTTCATTGTCCATTTTAACTCGGTATCTTATTTTAGCTCTTCCCTAAAAATATTCAATTAATGAGATCGATTTTATCATTAATTAAATGAGTGTTGAATAATGTGTACCCATAATTACTGATTAATTGGGTAATAGAAAGTTTTTATTTCTGATTATCATCATAGGGAATGACATTTTGATAATCATTGGCAATTATCACAGTAATGAATATTTTGACGCTCAAAATTGCCCATTAACAGAATTATGAAAATATTTCAGTTTTCATTATTGATTATATAAGTATTAGAAAATATTTTTAATTTGATTATTGATTGAATGACCATTCTAAAATATTCAAGTGTAATTTCTGATAAGATAAATAATATTTTTTTTAATTGTTAATTATTACTCACTGAGACGATATTTAAAAAATATGAATTTCTCAATACTGATTCATAACATAATGAACAATATTTACACGTTGTTAGTGATTAAGCACAAAATATATATCTGCGGTGCAAGCATTGTACAAATTCATAGTTCTCCAATTGTGGGAATTTCTCAACTTGTTGGGCGAATTTTGACGTTTGCGAAAACGATTTAAAAACACCATTTAAAAACGATTTAAAAACACACAGTTAGTCCACTAATTAGTCCCTTAAGGTATATCTCAAGACAATCGCACCAAAAAGTTAGTCCCTATGAATTTCCCGAAAAAAATTGTGAATAACTTAATTTATTGCATTCTCGTAAGTTATTGAGTTTTTCTATTCTCATGTATTGTTGATCCAGGCAACAATAACTGTTTGAATCAAATAAGAAATTATTTGTTAATTCATTTTTTAAATCAAATAAGGAATGCTTCTGCGAAATTTCCGTTTTTGAGTTGAATATCGCAGAAACTATGTAATACAAAATTTTACAAAAAATTTACCCTATTCGGAATTTATCAGTCTATCATGGATTAGTATTGGAAGTTAGCATTTTTTCAATAGCTGGGAACTATTGTAAAGATTATCTATGACAAAAATGGGGTCAATCTTAAGAAAAACGTGTTTTCTAGGGATATACCTTAAGACCTATAATCTTACAAAATTTCAGATATTTTGAGATTACTTTAGTCACTTAATTGCTCAATTTCCATTTCTACAAATTGCATTTATAATCTCATTCAATCATTTCTCTAAAATTGAGCCGGATAATCCAACAATTGACAGACGTGGCCGTCAAGCTTTGTATTTTTACGTCTCAGACCATTCTACATAATTTCCAATCAAAATTAGAGAATGTGAAAATGGAACGGTTACAAAGCTTTCATTCGGAAGCAAAAATAATGCAAAAAGAGATATCTTATGGAATGCCATTTTCCTGCATTGCTTCCAGCACATCTATCTGCAGTACACATGCAATTTATTTCCTTGTGAAAGTGTTATCATACCCCACGTGACTCAGTTGTGAAGATTGTGGAATGACTGATTGGACGGAACATCTGTTCTCAGATAAATCTGTCCCTCCCATTCATTCCACAACTCGTGGATCTGAGGCTGACAATAACACGAAAGGATTTAGATTTATTAGAATAGGATTTCAGTTTTCACTCACAAGTTACTTGTAAGCATTTCCTCTAGTGGAATTTATTGGAAAATAAAAGAATAGTGCAAAGTTAAAATGTCGATGCCCGAGGAAAAAAAGGCTGAAGACGAGGAAGAGTTTGGAGATCTTGACGAATTGTGGAAGCAAATTTTCAACAGTGAATTCACGGGAAGATACGCCAGTATAAAAGGAGTGCGTCTCCCGGAACTCTTCATCAAATTTGCGGATGAGATTGACAATTTTAAAGTTCGGGATGATGATGTGTGGGTCTGCAGCTTCCCCAAAGGTGGTATGTGCAATAACTTTTAGACAATTGAACGAATCTCTGCTGGATATGATTTGATATATCGATATTTTAAGGGACCACTTGGACGCAAGAGATGGTTTGGTGTCTAGGGAACGATGTTGATCTTGAAGGTGCAAAAGCAGATTTGTTCCAACGATTTCCATTTTTTGAGTGAGTGCCATTAAAAAAATATCGGAACAACACACGAAGAAATTTATTTGAAAAATCCCAGCGAATTCGACATAAAATTCTATCGGATTTCTGTTGAATTTCTATTTTGAGTATTCTGATAGCTTTCTGATAGCTGTTTCTATTGAAGATTTCCACAGCTTTATTTCGTATTTTTAGATTGAGAATGGATAATAGGAAGTATTTTAGAGAACAATCGAATTTCATATTTTTACTAGGGGGCTACGTCCCCTGCTCGCACTGCTCGCCAACCCCCTTGTGACAATCATTTTGACCCTTCGTTTCTGCCCCTTAATTTTGGAGTCTTAATTTCAAGCACCATATTTTTATCACCAAAAGTCGATTTGGCTTTTGACAACATCCCCTTAGTTTCTGGCCCCCTATGACCCTTATTTGGATCCTTAATCTTATCCTTGTGACACTTATTTAGACCCTTAATCTGACCCTTGTTACCCTTAATCTGACCGCTGTAACCCTTAATCTTGTGACCCTGCATCTTGCAACTCTTAATCTAATCCACATAACCCTTAACCTGACCCTCGTGACGCTTATTCTGATTTTTATGGCCTTATTCTGACCCTCATGACCCTTATTTTGACCCTTCTGACCCTTAATTTTGGAGTCTTAATTTTGAGTACCAAATTTTTATTATCAGAAGTCGATTCGGATTTTTATAACACAGAGAGATCAAAATCACTTATCTCCAAGAGAAAAATTGAATTGAACAGCATTCCGCAACGACCTATATAATAAATTTTAATGATCAAGCGTTCAAAATGAAATGCATATACAGGATCCTTAATCTGAACCTTGTTACCCTTATTTGAGCCCTTAATCTGGCCCACCTAACCCTTAATCTGACCCTCGTGACCTTTATTCTGACACTCATGATCCTTAATTTTGGAGTTTTAATTCCGAGTACCAAATTTTTATTATCAGAGGTCGACTTGGATTTTTATAACACAGAGAGATCAAAATTATTTATCTCCAAGAAAAAAACATGAACTGCATTCTGCAACGACCTATACTATAATAAATTTCAATGATCAAGCGTTCAAAATGAAATGAATATACAGAGTGTCTCATTTAAAAGTGTACGGTCAAATAACTCTTGAAAGTGAGCAGTAATCGAGAAATTTTTCAATTGAAAGTTATAGGGTTGCAAGGGGGATAACTGATACAAAGTAAATTTCGAGTATTCTTTCATATTGTCAGTTATGATGCATTTCTTTCAAATAGTAACCAAAATGTTCACCTCCTCCGCTCCCCAAAAGTTATTCCGCTTGATGAGACGAATTCAGCCATACCGTATGTGATGTCAATCCACCCATTTTTCGGCGAAATTTTACATAAAAATACATTTTCATCACGCTGTGACGAAAAGTGAACTTTTCGGCATGCTCCGCGTGCCTTAAAGTCCAATTTCCGCCACATATTGTGATGAAAAATATTGTTCGTAACTCGTGAAAAAATATTTTTTAGCTCGTGGGATTATATCACTCGCCTTCGGCTCGTGATAGAAACCTCCCACTCGCCAAAAAACACTTTTTTGCACCCGTTACGAAATATACTATTTCTTCCTTTCTGTGGGTTACCCTCATTTATCACAAACGACAAAACATGAAATGAATTGAGCCAAGGAATTTCCATAGAAAATATTTCAATAAAATAAGTTCTATAGAAAAGTTAAATTCTATTCATTTTATCCACAGAATGTTTTCTAGTAAAAGTTTGTATCGAAAAAACACGAAGATGAGCTGCGGAATTTTCCAATAGAATCGGGCAAAAACCAACAACCAATGTAATAAAATTTTCCAGCTAATTCAGTGCGTTTTTTTATGAAATATTTTTGCATGTCACATTCTGGCACACAATAGAAATATGGAATAAACTATGAATGCTTGCAGAGTAACAGCTGTCGTTGATTACTCAGCCTTCAGAAGGAAAAAACCTGAGGAGAAATCAAAGAAACACGCAATGACAAGCTTAGAATTCTGCAACACTCGTTCCTCCCCTAGATTCATAAAAACACATTTGCCTTTTCACCTTCTCCCCCGTGATCTTCGCGAAGGGAAAACCAATGCGAAGATTATTTACGTCTGGAGGAATCCCAAGGACACCTGCATATCTTTTTTCCATCATTCTAAACTTCTGGAAGGGTACCGAGGGGATTTTCAATTATTCTGCAAACTGTTTCTCGCTGATAAACGTATGTACTGCAATAATTTGACTTTAAGGTGTTTCGTGTGTAGATCACCGGGGGGTGAAACGGAAGGGGAGTCTTATTGAACAAAAAAATTTCCAAACTTTCCAAATTTTCAAGTAACTATTTAAGTGTGCATTTGAACATTTTTTGAATATTGATTTTATTTATCAGATTGGTTGATTTTTTTTTCATCACCTATGGGTGTCAAATAATTTTTTCGCCACGGCGGGCGGAAAGGACACATTTTCCTCCCGCTTGGCGATACCTTTCCCACGATGCTCACTGACATTTGAATCGCGCGCCTGCGCGTGAAGGCGTAATTGCTCGGAAACTCATGATTTTTCGAATTATTTGTTCAACTAACAAACACTAAACTTCTGAAACTTTATTTGTTCTTATAAAATCTGAAAAAAATTTGAAACTTATACGTATTCTCAAAAAAGATTTGATTCATCACGCACTAGTTTTTCCTCAATAGTTCATTATTTTTTTGGGCGCTATGGAAATTTCCCTGATTGAGAGTGGGGTAACCTCGGAGGTTATAACTAGAGGAGTTACAAAAATATCCAAATTTCATTATTTCGTTTCTTGAGAGTGAGATCTGAAAAAAATGTGCAAAAATTCCCAGTGATGCAGCATACTCAGACATTTCTCTCATGAATTTGCCAATTTTTTTTTCATTATTTTCACTTTTCACACGAAACACCTTAATCATCAAGATCCGAGAGAAAAAAGTAAATGATATTCAAATAATTGCTTTTTAGTGTATTGTTGTCCATATTGGGATCACATCCTTGGATTTTGGAATAATCAAAATGATGCAAAGCACAAGATGCTATTGTTGAAGTATGAAGACATGAAAGCGGTAAGGAACTGAAAAGTCTATAACAATTCTTATGAGAATTTTATGAATGAATGCAACAGAAGATCTACATTTCAATCAACTGGATTCTCAAAGCCTAATAATTCAATTTGATTGAATGACGAAGTCCAACAAATCTATTCGAGTTACTTTTTATTGCAGGATTTATCATCAGTAATTCATAAAACCTCAGAGTTCCTGAGGAAACCCACACTCTCCCCCGAGAAGCTGGAAATCCTCATGGACCATCTGAGCTTTTCGAAAATGAAAAACAATCCAGCAGTGAACAAAGAGGAATGGATAGCTTACATCAAACAATTTGATCTTTGCATTGAAGACGGAAAATTCATGCGAAGTGGTGAACTAAACCAGTGGAAGGCTGCGATGTCCCCCGAAATGTCTCAGAAATTCGATCAGTGGACTGCGGATCACCTCAAGTCTTCAGACCTCACTCTTTAAATGATATGATAGAAAAATTTTTAATAACCCCCTGTTAATAAACTCTACTCTCCAGGATGGTTCTCTCAATAATCCCAATTTGACTCGTGGGATTATATAACTCGCCTTCGGCTCGTGCTCTAACCCCCCCACGAGCCAAAAAACTCTTTTCCGCACTCGTAACGAAATATACTATTAAAGTCTTGATCATCATCGCAGCATATCGTAACCAGGTCGAAGCGATGTAAAATAACGATAAAAAAAATTCTTGAGAAATTCAGTCTATTTATCTCTTTGTATAAGTGGTGTGAGCGCGCATTTTGTATGCAGTTGTCTATGCTACAGATTACGAAACAGGACACCATGGAAAGATACACATGGTATACACTTGAGGTCTCCTTCGCCAAAGTAAAACTTTATTATTTTTGCTTTTCGTTTTCCCAGTGAGATTTTTCACTTGGCTATTGCTTTTAGTCTCAGGACAGCGGTCCTCTACTACAGACGTGACTTCCTCGTGCAAATAAAGAGATTTTAATAAAGTATCTCATTGTTTAGCAACATTTATTTATTCACTTACACCCATATTCCATTAAAAACATTGGAGTGTTCACTCCAGCGGCTGTGTGGTAGCAGAGTGGGGGCAGCGCTGGAACGTCGGCAAAACTACATGAGGGGAAATGCGACTATAACGAGAGTCTACTGTATATGAAATGAAATGCACCTTAGCGTCCGCATTTTTAGAGATAAGATCACTTTGCACAATGATTAAATTAATTTGCTTACGAATGTTTTATCATTATTTGCGTGGCCCATTTTGTGTAGATTAGCAATAACCACCTGCACCGACATATTCGACATATCTCATTCACTTTGTAACATAACTTTGAATTCATCATTTAATGAAAAAAATGGTATGCAATAACTTTTCTACTGTTTAAAAGAAAGTACAATAATTTCTTTATTTTCTGAATAAAAACGTCAAAAGCAGTAAAATGTCGATACCACTGGAAGGAAAGAAGGCTGAAGACGTGGAAGATTTTGAGGATTTCGAGGAATTGTGGGAGAAATTTTTCAATATTGAATTCACCGGCAAATTCTTTAGTGTGAGAGGGGTGCGTTTGCCGGAACACTTCACTAAATTTGCGGATGAGATCGAAAATTTTGAAATTCGGGATGATGACGTGTGGGTCTGCAGTTTTCCCAAAGCTGGTGAGTGTAATAATGTCTCCAAGAATGAATTATTTAACAAATCTAAAATTATAAGGGACCACTTGGACACAAGAGATGGTTTGGTGCCTAGGGAATGATCTTAATTTCGAAGGTGCGAAGGTAGACTTGTTTCAGCGTTTTCCATTTTTCGAGTGAGTGAAAATGAATAAAAATGAAAATATATTTTGAAAAACACCGAATAATTGAATAATGAATTCCTGCAGAAAGGCTGCCGTTCTCGATTACGCAGCCTTCGAAAAAAAAAATCCTGAAGAAAAATCAAAAGAATCTGCAGTGACCAGTTTTGAATTCTGCGAGTCGCGTGCCTCCCCGAGATTCATAAAAACCCATTTACCCTTTCACCTTCTTCCTCGCGATCTTCGGGAGAGAAAAACGAATGCCAAAATTATTTACATCTGGAGAAATCCCAAGGACACGTGTATATCTTTCTTCCATCATTCTAAACTCTTGGGAGGGTACCGAGGTGATTTCGAACTCTTCTGCAGACTGTTTCTAGCTGACAAACGTATGTATTGCAATCATTACATGCTCGGTAAATGTTTAACATAACATAATTGAGTAGATTTCAATTGAAAGCTCAACAGATATTTATTTTTTCCAACAAAATTAATTAAACCTCATGTTTTCTCTTAAAAAATCTTCTATGCATTTCAATAGAATTTCCAATCGATAAGTCATTAATACAGTAGAGTCTCCCTAACTTCTCTGCTCTCCAACTTCCCTGTGATCAGCGACAGTGGGGAGAGTGTTCCCTTACTCTGAGCACCCCAAACGTGTGTGAGTGATATACGTGTATCCCTCTGCGCTTGGTGAATGCGCAGTAAACAGTCTCTGCTCCCGCATTCTAGTTGGACGACGCCCCTCTAGCGACAGAGTGTGGATGTCCGCAAGCGCTCATTTCGTGCATGGAATTTGTAGCCCCGACGTGGTGAAGTTAGGGAGACTCTACTGTGAAGTGTTGGAGACAGAAGTTTCATTACGCTTTTCGTCTTCAAATCCCCCCCCCCCCCCCACGTAATGTACCTCCATAATATTTCCCGACAGTTCTAAGCCACCCTGTACAAATTTTCCGCCTTTGTTTCAGTTTTGTGCTGTCCATACTGGGGCCATATTCTGGGATTTTGGAACAATCGGAATGATCCCCAGCAGAAAATGTTATGGCTGAAATATGAAGACATGAAATCAGTACGAATATCTAATTTTTTCGTTTTTTGAGACGAGATCAGGAACTTGTATAATTTTTCTTCAAATTTTTGCTGTCAAGTTGCGACATCGAACGATTAATTTTTCATTTCTAAACATGAAAAATATTGCTCGTTAATTAATAATTGATGGTCGAACGTTGAAAATTTCAAACATTTTGAAATCGCTAACGACGTCACAATGGCCTCATGTTGGACCAATCACAGAATGGCTTGGGCCAACCTAACCCAATTTTAACGTTCATCTCATCCAATGGATGACGGCTACTCCCCTCTTCCCCCACATTTGACCAACGTAGCGCTACCCAGTATTACTACGGTAGAGGCTTCGTATAAGATACCGTAGGGACAGTAGGAGAGTGGAATTCCGGGAACCCCTGTGCCCCCACTACGCGCCTCCATAGAGAGGTGAAAAATAGGGATCAGCGGGTTTCAAATAAGATACCTCGCTCGTTGCGCCTGAATTCAATGAAATTTTCAATTGTACTGAATGAATATCGATAACTAATCAATTTATATGTGTTCAATGTTTTGAATTGGTATCGCTCGCGTTCTCTTTCTCTCTCTAAACATAACCCCGCCTGATAGAATGGCATCTGACGTTGAGGGATTGTTGGTGGACTCGAGAATAATCACAGACTAAAAATTACGATTTCTAGATGGGAAAAGTGAAAAAAAATCGATGTATATTTTTATTACTTGAAAAAAGTGGTGTGACCCCCCTCTTAAGGTCATTAGACTCATGATCACTTCGTTCAGTCCTCCCGTTTGATTCTTATAACTATTCTCTTCCCGTTGAAAAATGACCGGGGCCATAGGTATCTTATAAGAAGCCCACGGAACATAAACATTCGGGAGGTGATAAAAGTCCCGAGAGTGGGGGTAGGCCTCGAACACCCGGAGCGCGAGGTATCTTATATGAAGCCTCTACTGTATGCCGCTTTGTGACGTCATGGCCAAAATAATAGGTTTTAAAAACGTCTGATTTTCAATCGATTATTGTAAAATATCTAGGCAAGATTTCTCCATAATTCTTTTCGTTTAGCTCTGTCTATGAGTCATGTAGAATGGGTGAATAGAAAAATTAGGGAAAACTGAGCTCCATGCAAGTTTCCTACTGATAGAATGAGCTTATTTCAATTACTTTTTGTTAAAGGACTTACCATCAATAATTCAAAAAACCTCAGAATTCTTGGGAAAAACTTCACTCTGCCTTTCACCTCCCGAGAACCTGGATATCCTCGTGGATCACCTGAGCTTTTCAAAAATGAAGGCTAATCCAGCAGTGAACAAAGAGGGATGGATAGCATACATCAAACAATTCGACCTCACCACTGAACCCGGAAAATTCATGCGCAGTGGTAAAGTGAATCAGTGGAAGGCTGTCATGACCCCCGTAATGTCCCAGAAATTTGATGAATGGACAGTGAATCACCTCAAATTTTCAGACCTCACTCTGTGAAGACAAAATACATTGCTCCGGTTCTAGTGGAGAAAATGATGAATACAAGAAACAAAAAAGGAAGAGTCACGGTTTGCCGATAATCGTTGATCATTACTGGAATTACTTGCCGCGGGGTCGTTCCATCTATTTCAATCCGCCTTTTTTCGATTTCGATGAAAATTGAATATGATATAGAAGTGTTCCAAGCATGCCTTGAAATTTTAATAAAAGAATTTTTTTTTGAAAGTTCACTCGGCTAGAAAATTCGATTTTGGCGAAAGTCGACTTTGCCCCTGGAAAAACCGAAAATCTGACCCTTTGGCTCCGGGTGAAAAACATTTTTTTTCAGTTCTCCCTTTTTTGAAAAAAAACCTTTTTTAGTTTACACTTTTTCACATACTTTTGAGAGTTCTGAATAGCCCGTCGCTTAAACAGTCGAAATCAACGTTCACCCGGCTGAAAAATTCGATTTCGGCGAAAGTCGACTTTCCCCCTGGAAAAATTTAAGATCTGACCCTCTGGCTCCGAGTGAAAAAAGAAAATTTTATTTCGACATTTGCCGCGCCTCCGGGGGTTTCATTGGCATCAGAATCGTTAGAAAATACAGAATCAACCTTCACTTGGCGAAAAAATTCAATTTTGGCGAAAATCGAGGGTTTCATTGGCATTAGGGGGTCAATAAATACAGAATCAACGTTCACTTGTGTGGGGATTTGCATATGGATACCCGAGTCGAACATTAGGACCTGAATTTCCCCTTGAACACCCATCATGAGCAGGAGGACCAGGATGAAGTTAGGGTGTATTTACATTCAGGAAGACCCCCTGGTTTCCGCCTGAACGTGCGAGTTATTTCCAAATTCCGAGGATTCAGGAGGAAAACAGGAGGTGTGTTAAACCTATTTATCGCCTGCACCCCCTAAAATGTTTTCCACTCCATCCCTCCTGGAAAGAACCTACAAACCCTTTCAAGGTATTTTTATTTATTTTGAATTATTAACATGAGAAGTACGGGTGAAAATTAAGGTCATACTCAAGGGTCATATATAAGGGTCAAAAATAACGGTCAGAAACGACAGTCAAAAATAAGGGTGACAATTTCCCTGATTTTCACCGCAAACAGAAATAAACAAAATAGTGAGCTACTCAATCATCCTGGCTATCAGGGTTAATTCAGGGGATATATGATTCCTTTTCATTCGACAGGAGGAGAAGGGGGAAAAAAGTATCAGGTGAGAAGAGTTTTTACGCCTTTAGGATGAGGCAAGATCATATAAGGAGTTATTCAGGATGTATAGGATGAACAAAGGAGGGAAATATATCTCAAGGCGGTAATAGGGGGGAATAAGGTCCAGATATACGACTCGAGGAGGTAATAGGGAAGAATAAGGTCCAGATATTCGACTCGAGGAGGTAATAGGGGGGAATAAGGTCCGGATATTCGACTCGGGAATCTGCATGGATATTTCACATGCCCGGAAATTTCGTGCACGTCACAATATATATCAAATAATTCGATCTTTCTACAAAACTCGGGGAATTTATGCCAAGGGGCGAAAGGAATCGGCGGGAGGCCGCGATGTATCCGGAAATGTCCCGGAGTAGATAATGGATCATTCCAAATTTTCAGTCTCTATTCTGCTAAGAAAATACAGAATACAGATTGTTCTGCTTTCAACGAAGAAAATGATGGAAACGACTAATGAAAAAAAGGGAAAGTCACGGTTTGCGAAGGCTGATGACCTTCGATCGGAATCTTGCTGAAAATCAATGAAATATAAATGAAGTCCTAAGAATTTCATGTGTTTGTTACTGAAGGAGTGAAAGGAGAATTTACGATTATTATCAGAACGGAATTTTTCTCTCTTAAATGTTTAAATGATATTTTCGTAGAGCAGTTGAATAGTTTGCAGCATTTTTTGTTGAGATTCAATTGTTTCCACTCCAGTTCAATGTACAGTTCGATGTTTTGTTGTTTTGATTGTTTAGATCTTAGGGAGACCTAGGTGAAATTTGAAAGTCTTCGATTGATAAAAATAACTATCGAGCGATTTTAGATACATCATGGGATACCTAAAAAACTGACAAAAATTTCGTGCCTAACCCATTTTACCCCGTACATCAGGTGAAAACATTTTTCTCGTTTTTGGCTTTGAAATGATACTCGCACCACAATTCAAGATATAAAATTTTAATTGCCGTTCTTGTATTTTTGCTTCCGAATGAAAGCATTGTATTCGTCAAATCTAAAATTTCCATTCTTTTGTGTCAAGATGACTAATTTTGATCTCAGGAGTTCGATAATGCTGTTTTTAGATCATGTCTGTATATATGTATGCATGTATGTGAGCTTTTTTTTCCAATTTAGTTTTTCGACGACCATTCAAAAAATAATCATCGAAATCTTTTCAATTATGGGTTAAAATATTCGTTTGGATGTTATTTCGGGCGAGTTCGAAAATAGTGGCCATCGCATTCTTTCCTTTGAAATTATAGCTTTATTAGGGGGCCAATCTTGGGCTGACATTGGCCCGCTCCTGGCCCGGTATTGGGTCGCCCCTGTTTTTTGTCAAAATCCACTTGTGTGCACTATAATATGGGTAAAAGTCAGGGAATCCTTTTGAAACTTTGGTATTCCGATGGTAAGTTCCATGATCTCTTGAGAAAAAAAATTAACGCATCCATATTGCATTACGCCGACGTTACGCAAACATTGCAGTCTGCATCTTCAGGGCTGTGAGCTCCGATTCTGAGCTCCAATGTCTGAGGGTAGTCCTCATATTTCTATGATCTAATTGAGATAATTGAAAGAAAAACTAGTTTTATTTTATGTAATCTAACGAACGAATTTCAATTATGTATTTATAAATAACGAATGTTGAAAAAATAATAATTTTGTACAAAATGTAATTTGAATGACGCTGGATAATCACGATTTTTTCAAATTTTTCTCATGCAATTTAATTGACAAATTTGATGATTAAAAATGGTTGAATCTATAGTGGGGTCTATATTAAACTGTAAAAGATAGTTGGATATCCTTAATATCCTTGAATGGAACGATAAAAATTGTAAAAAATTTAGGCATCATATTTCAAAATCACAATCTATTGATTCTGTTCTGTCAAATTTATGGAAAAAAATTACATGGAAATGCTGTAAAATGTGTAATGAAAATTGGCCAAAAACCAGTAAAATTTTCAATAACATTCCAATAGCTTTCATGAAGAGATCCCCCAGCGTGAACTGTATTTTTTTTACAAAGATAACACAAATTCATCTGAACACAAAAGGGCAGTCAATCATAATTATCGGCATCAATCAATCATAATTACCGGTAAATTGTGAAGTTGTTAATTTTTAACATAAATCTTGAAAATTTTAAATATTAAAGTAACCATCAATTTATACATTTAAATTTCGAAATATTCTATCAACCAATGATTTCGGTAGAAACATTGACGATTATTTGGATAATCGAAAATCAAGTACCCAAAGTTAGAATTAGCTTGTTAAATAAAAAATTACATTCCAGTATTATCAAATATTTTATTCATCATCAATCGAAAAATTTAGCTCATAAATTCTATATTTTAAATTTGTTAAATATAGTTAAACTTTGAACAATATAAGGAGATGATCCTATTTAATATTGTCAAAATCTGATATTATTGTCTATCCCTGCTGGAAAATAACTATAACTCCTGGTCACTGTATATCACAATTTCAAAATGTGAGCATGACTACGTCCGAAAAAATATAATGATAGGTAAATTTCCATAGTTTCTTCACCTGAAAAATTCAAAAATTCCAGGTCAACTGCAGCTTTAGGAGTCTATAAAGTACGCGAGAGTAGGAGGGAAACTGGGGATTAGGGGGAAGCATTGAAATATTGGAGTGTGCGACTGTCTTGAGTCCATTGTTATGGCATTTCGCGAACTGGAAATATCACCTCTTCGCTGTTCATTTATCCTTCGATTTCAAGCGATAGTGCCACCTTGTTGATCAAGGAGCGTCGAAGATGAAAGACGATCCCAAAGATTTGGATCAACTTTTGAAAGAAACTTTCACGAATGAATTTCGGTCTGGATATGTAAATGCAAAAGGAGTGACGATGACTGATCTTTACCCAAACATCGCGGATTCTATTGAGAATCTCAAGATCTGGGATGACGACGTGTGGGTTTGCAGTTTTCCGAAATCGGGTGAGTCCTGAAACAGTTCTATATGCGACGTTTTTCGTTTGATTCGATATAGTTTTCGGATAGACAAATAGTGCAATGAAACGATATCAACAGTATAATTATTTGATGATGCGGAACGACGTCAGATTTTGCTCAGGCTAACAAAAAAATTGTTCATTCAAATTTTTTTATAGAATCTTTTACGAGAGAAATGGATTTTACTATCTTATTTTTAACCCTTTGAAGACACCTCTCGGTCTCCATGTCCATGGGAAATCGATTGTCTTGAATTTTCCTCTAAAATAGTATCCTCTTTATATATTATTAGTATTATTGCTTCGGAATGAGAGCATTGTATTTGTCAAATTCGAAATTTACATTTTTTTTCGAGTTAGGATAAATAATTTTGGTCTCAGGTGTTCGAATATGCTTTTAGATCATGTCCGGACGGATTGTATTGTTGTATTTAATTAAGAAATAATTCAGGATAAATCGAAGGGGCATATTTATTGACAGTTCTTCAGAATCAATCATAGAACAAAAGTGGATCACGCATGAAGTTATTCCCAAACATTAGACAATGACAATCAACTTTCTTTTCATTTTACAAAAGAGGGGAAGAGGAGAGATTTTTTTTTTAATTACATATATCACAGAATGAGGATCAGAGATACTATTAACAGCCCAATTTGTTTTTCTTAAAGTTATCACAATTGTAAAATTCCAGTGAATAACGACTAGACATTTAATCCAAAAATTTCAAAAGGACTTTATTGATGACAAAAAATGGCTAGTTGTGTAAAAAAAATTGATCGAAAATATTATTGGTATTTTTCAAATGATTAATTAGAAAAATGGTTGTAGTTTCGTGAGTTCCACTCTGAAAAATATAAAAAAATATATCTTGCGGGAAATATTATTAAGAACGCTGTATCAAATTTTTGTTTAATGACATTGATTGGCTCGTAAAAGATTAAGTTTTTAATGAAGTCATGTGACGCCTCCGTCGGTCCGTGCACCGCCCAATTTGAGCGCTCCAGCCGGGCCGGGTGGAAAAAATGCAGCCAAAGTCATGAAACTTTAGACACATTTAGGACATGTGATCAATGATTTTTTGAGTGAAAAAGATTGTTGCCTAGTTTATCAATAATAGCGAAAAAGTTAGTGAAAAATGAAATTTCTGCGCACGCAGCCCAAACAAGCAGCAACGTCCCAAGTACCGATCGGGTGGGGGTAGCGCGGTCAATTTAAACGTCTTGAGAGAGAGCGATGAAGCGTTGTGATTGGAGCTCCCTCGAGCCAGTGGTACCAGCTCCTGGTGAAAAAAAAACTACCGACGATGGTGCCACTTTTTCGCATGGATTAATATTTTTTCATTTATTAAAAAAAAACAATCTGAAAATCATTCAATGCGTGGAACAAATACAAATAAATTTGATTAGCCCCAAAAATAATTTTGAATCGGAGATACTCCTTAAGATTGCTTGAATTTTGAATCCGAATGGGAACAATTTTTTTGTTCAGCGATTGGTTTTCTGCAGGAAAACAATAGAAACCCCTCTGCCTCACCTCCAACATTTCTTCCTCTCCCGATTATCCTTAAATTCACCGTTCAAATAGCGTGGAACGCGCCACATATGAACTTTCTACTATTACGGAGTTTTTTTTGAATGCCCTTAACTTTTGTAGAAAAAACTATCAATGGTTAATGCCTCCTAATGATATGAGTTATATCAATGAGAAAACACCATAAATGCTCGTTCAGGAATTTTTCAGATTTCTTTTACAAATCTTGAGTGCACTTTATATGCAGCGGATGCGGATGACTGATGTATCTTTAATTCATGCTAAAAAAAGAGTGACCATGAAGGGTTAAAAGGACAATCATTAATGGAGATATAATTAAATAGCTTATTCTTCTTATAATAAATTTTATCATTCAGGAACTACCTGGACTCAAGAAATGGTCTGGTGCATCAGTCACAATCTCGATTTCAAAGGAGCGGAGGTGAATTTGACAACTCGTTTTCCATTCCTCGAGTAAGTAATTTTCAAAACATTACGTACGAAAAAATTACGGGAAAAACCTTGCACATGCACTAGAACATGGTATGGAATTTCTATTGGAAATTCTATTAATTTTTAGTTGATTCTATTGAAATATTCCGTAGATTTTCTACGCGTTCTTAACATAGAAATGTTCAATAAAAATATTGTATCAAGAAATCATAACATTTCACCGTTCTATTCATTATATTGAGATTGTTTTTGTAGAAATTCATCAGCGTAAATTTTCACAGTTTTTTGTTTGATTTTTTGAATAATTTTTTACGCCTAGGAATTTATATTGTGACCTTGGCGATTTTTCGCTGGGTTAATGAATAACCTATGCAACCGACGATGGAAAATTCTCACATTGCCAAGTTGACTCTCAGCTTCGGCAAACTTCTGCGGTTGAGGGTCTCTACTAAATTTTCTCATCTGTGATGATTTGCCACCTCGATGTAGATAAACACGGTATTCATAATCTCCTTTCCAGATCGTCAGCTCGTGTTGATAATGCAGCACTCATTGAGAAGTTCCCAGAACTGGCGAATCATGAGTTCGTCCACGATAGTGTGAAATTCGTGGAGGACCTACCACGCCCTAGATTCATCAAAACTCATCTTCCATTTCAGCTTCTTCCTCGCGATCTGCGAGAGGGACGTACCCAGGCAAAGATTGTGTATGTCTGCAGGAATCCAAAGGATGTGTGCATATCTTTCTATCATCATACCAAACATTTTGCGTTCCGGGGGGATTTCGAGCAATTCTGCAGACTTTTTCTGGGTGATAAAGGTAATTAATTATAGATGATCTACCATCAGCCATAACTGAAAACAGTTGAAAACAGTGGCGTATTTTAGGGATAATTTTCGTTAACCCTCGATCACTCACTCAATGAGCGCGGCGCCGCCCGTTTTCGGTTTTTTATATTTTAGCGTGTTTCTTGACGCTTAAAAATTCGGAAAAAATTACAGCTCCTAGATCAATCCTTTTATTAAGCGTTGGCGTAGTCCGTTTTTTTCTCGGGAAATTTATTTAGCTAAAAAAAGAAAAGAAACGTCGAACAGACAGAAAAGCAGCGCCGCACCGCCCGGTGCCAGTGAGTCGCTGTCGACTCCTCGAGCGACAGTGTTGCTACATTCACCGCCACACTTGGAATACGCGCATAGCGGTAGGCGCCAAGGTGACAACAACGCTCTCGATTTAACCCAGCAGCCCTGCGCTAACGGTGCGACGGATGAAGGCTGGCGGCTGAGCGCGAGTGATCGAGGATTAAATGATGTCGTCATTGCATGTCTTTCATCATTCTAGTTCCTTACTGTCCTTTTTGGAATCACATATTCGGTTTTTGGAATAAAAGGAATGATTCATCATACAACATTTTATTTCTCAAGTATGAAGACATGAAATCGGTGAGTATAATCCTCTTCTGCGCGTACGAAAATTTCCAAAATTTCAGATCAATGTATCTAACTGTAAGTTCTTTTCCCAATCAAGGATTTGATATCGGTGATCCAGAAAACTGCGAAATTTCTGAAGAACGCCAAACTATTTTCAGAGGAATTAAACCAGTTGCTGGACCACTTGAGTTTCGAAAACATGAAGAAGAATCCAGCGGTCAATCACAAGAGCATGTTTGAGTTCACAAAGCAGTACCTCGGCGCCTCAGGAGAGGCAGAATTCATACGACGAGGGCAAGTGAACCAGTGGAAAACTGTAATGTCCCCCAATATTTTGGCCCAATTTGATGAGTGGATCTCGAAAAATTTAAAAACTTCAGATTTTTCTTTTGAGTCTCCTGTGAAGCCGAATATTCAGTATATCGAGCAATTCCACAATTCAAGATGAATATCGACAAGGTTTTGGAACTGGGCGATGCGTAAGGGCGATTGGGGTAAAACGGATTGGGCAAAACGGATGCGTAGGGTCATACGTCTCTAGGGTCAAATATTGCACTGGTCTTGCCTCGTGAGAGTCAAACGCCGCAACCCGGGTAGAAATTCAACCGGGGATTCAGCCGCAACTCGGGTGAGCGCGAGCTCAGCCTCGGCTTGCCGCTTGACCCGAGTTCACGCCGCGACCCGCCGCTCCATACCGGCTCACAGTCGAACGCTCGTCAGATGGCATAACCCGGCACTTGAGTTTGAGCTGTGGCTCAACGCTTAGAACTCAGCTCCGATTGAGTCGTGTCGTTTCGAGTGGAGGGTGGAATAGAATGATATTTATGCATTTTTAGAATATCGATTTAAAATTTGAATACTTTGGAAAATCCTTGTCTTCTTACTATAAAAAAAAAATGGAATTCCACTGAACTTTCTATAAAATTTGAAATTTACTGATTTTTCCCTCTGTCATCGAATATAAAACCTGGCACTTTCTCTAAGAATTCCTATTGAATTTCTATTGGAGCTCTATGAGAATTCTATTTAAGTTTTATTGCAATTCTATTGAAAAATTCTATTTTTTTTTGCGTCAATTCCATTGAAAATTATGCAACTTTCCCCTGCATTTTTAATAGATATTTGTTTGTAGAAAAAAATCCATTGATTTTTCTAGATAATTTATTCTGTCAGGATTTCTTCCACAAAAACTATTGGGCATGATTTTTCCAAGTTTTGTCCCTGCATTTGATTAAAAGAAAAGAAGAAAAACCGAGCGGAAAAACTTAGAAATCTTACGCCTAAGAAAATCTATAGGAACATAAAAACCTATTTACTTTCTTGCACCAAATTTTACCTTAACAAAAAGACTCTATGAAGTTGCATAATCTCCTATAGAATCGGCGCAAGAAACGAATAGAATTCTAATAGAACTTCCAGAGAATTCTCATAGAATTCCAATAGAAATTTAATAGAAAGCGCTAGGTTTTTCTGTTGAATTTTTTCATGCGTGTTATTTTGGCATACCTGTATTCAACATTTCCCTAATAAATCGTAGAATATTCTTAGAACTCGTAGGCCTATCGAAAAATGAAGAATATCCTCTCCTGTAGCGTTGATAATTAATAATAAAGGTTCGTTAACGTTTTTCAAGTGATTATTTTTCTTGATTTTGTTTGTTGTATTCGCGAGAAAAACGAAAGTTTTGATTACGTTTCAGTGAATTGTTCTACCTTGTATTTTCAGCTTAATCCCATTCGATTAGTTAATATCGCGTTATTTCTGATGAGCTTGTGATTGTTCATCTGAAAAAGCATGCCATCTTCACATTTATTCGATTGTTTTTTCGCTCAAATCACGATGCCATCGGACCTGTCAAATCATTATTGAAGTTAAGTATACTGGGATTGACTAATTGGAAATGAACCTGAGGTTGAGCAGTGGCCATTGAACTAAAGCCCGGCGTTTCGCGTAATAATCTAACGCTGGGCTGTGAGCGCGTGACGCGGCTCAACCTCGGGTACATATGACGCGCGTGGAGTTTATCCCAAGCTGGGGCGGAGTGGCGTATTTCTAGCTGGGATACGGGTTCCGAGCCGAGTTCGAGCGGCGTGATTTCTACCCGGGAAGGGTCATACCTCACAAGAGGCTAAGGTTGCAAGGTTCTGACGTCTCGAGAGGTATATCTTTTTTTTTATCGTTATTTTACATCGCTTCGACCCGGTTAGGGTGTACTGCGATGGTGATCAAGACTTTAAATGGTTAGATGGCACCATTCTACCCGGCTGGGATTTGAACTCGGAACCTTTCGCATGTGAGGCAATTTTTTTTTCTTTTTCAATAAATATTTATTAACGATTAATATATCTTTATACATCTGTTGCTTACGTCTATATATATAAAAAATGTTCATTGTCTTTTGTTGGTGCGTAGTCCCTACTTGTATAATTAACAAGTTTAACCTACTGTTTTATATTTTACTGGTACATTTTGAGGTAAGATGTGTTTACATTTACTGGTGGTAAAATTAGTTGATGACTCGTGTGCGATGATGTGATTATGAATGTGTTTTTTGTTGAAAAAGTTTTAATAAAAACCAACTTGGTGTGAGGTCATGAACTTACCAACTACGCCAAGCCACCGGGTGAGGGTTATATCGAAAGAGTGTAACGAACAAAATTATAATCGGTAAAGACTATGAACTATTGGATTGAAGATAGAAGTATACAGCTTTTATGGACGCAATGTGTTGAATTTCATTTTTTCAAAAATCGTTTTTTCGAAAAAATGTTCGGAAACGAAAGTTGATATTGCGCCTAAAAAATAGTCTTGGTCTATTCTACAAATTCTGACGATTTTCAGATAAAATATCTGAAACTACCTGGATATCCTTAAATTTACATTTTGCCGCACTCTTCGCAATGTCGCAGATACCAATAAATAAATATAAAAGAATTAAATCTCAATTTGTTAGTACGTTAAATTTCCTGTACCCATCATTTATACTTCAGCTTGTTGACTGACTAGAGGCCAGGCCACAAGATCAACATAATCCATCATCATTAACGATATCGATGGAAAAAAAATTCCATTCTCTTAAATGGATGAAAATGAACGGTCAGTCCCACTCGTTCTTATTTTTCTTATCTGTATTAAACGGTAGCGTATCATTTCGGGTGGCGCATTACTTGGCGATTTGCCACTGGGTAAGTCATTCAGTTTCAGTTATCAACCACCAACTTATGTCTGAGTGTCGAAAAATAAAAATGTCGGAAGCAGCAGAAGAGGGAAAAATTAAAGACAATCAATTCGAAAACAGTGATGAAAAGTGGGAGGAACTCTTCAAGAGTCACTTCCAGAGTAATTTCATCACAATAAAAGGTGTACGTTTCCCAGAAGCCTTCACCAAACATGCAGATGATATTGAAAATTTCAAAGTTCGAGATGATGACATATGGGTCTGTACTTTTCCCAAGGCTGGTGAGTCCAATTATATTTTTTTCGTACGGACCTTCACTTTTCCTCGTCCGGGGATTGGTATTGGCCCTTCCCCATACTCGTCAAAGTGAAAATCACTACGGAAAAATATCCTTTACGACTAGTGCTATGGGTTTTTTTTATTCGCGTAGTTAGCCAGTCCTCACCTTCGGCTCGGATGTCAACTTCAGGCGAGTAAAAAACCCCATGGCACTCGCCCTGAAATATACTAGTTCACGATCATCAATTCACTATTTAGCGGAATAATAATTATAATTATAATTTTTTACTTTGAGGCACCACCTGGACCCAAGAGATGGTCTGGTGTCTAGCAAACGACGTAGATCTCGAAGGTGCAAAAACAGATTTGTCGGATCGGTTTCCATTTTTCGAGTGAGTGACTCAATCTTGAAGATATATTCAGCCAAAAGCAGACAATTTACTGTATGAAAGGAGCCACAAACCCTTATCGTGAATGACATTCTTATGATTAATTTCGTTTCAGGCTAACCGCTATTTCAGATCTCTTACTGATACCCAAAGAATTATCAGAATCGGATCCCGAAATAACGAGGAGCATAGAATTATGCGACAACCTCCCCTCTCCGAGATTTATAAAAACGCATCTACCGTTTCACTTTCTGCCTCGTGCCCTCCGGGAGGGTAAAACTACTGCCAAAATTGTTTACGTTCGGAGGAATGTAAAGGACAATTGCATATCTTACTATCATCACTCTCGACTCATGGAGGGATATGGAGGGGATTTCAATGCATTCTGTCAACTTTTTTTGGCTGATAAGTGTGGGTATCACCAGTTCATTTGTAAAATGGAAATTTAATAATTGGTTCAGTTACGAACGAGGGGCTTGCCCCTCCCCCCCTGTGACTAATCGGGTGCAAATGTTTTGTCTTCTATATAAGAAAAGCCATAGAGTAGATACTCCCTAAGATTTCGCTTCTCTATGATTTATAAAAAAAAACAAACTTGACAATGCGTTGCATCGAATAATACTAATTTATCAATTTTCTGTCAATTACGTGTTTTCTGTTGGTATTTTCATGAAACCTTGTTGAAAAAACTGGACTTTCTCAAGAAAAATCAGCAGAAAACCAATATCATTCCGAATAGAATTTCAATGCAGTAGGCTCTCGCTAGTTGTTCATCGAAAAGGCTGTAGGGTTTCCAAGAAAAGAGAAACTTTCCACCGGCTCCCACTCCTCACTCAATGCCGATCCAATTTCTCAGAGAAAATGAGACGGAATGAATAGTTTCATTTTCAAAAAAAATTATTTGGATCTCTGTGTTTACGCACGGAGGACAAAAGAAAGCTATAGGGGGGTAAGAGTGGGGGGCGGAAACGAGCAACTAATGGATGTGCAAGTAGCGAGAGTTCAGTAGACTCCCGTTACAGTCGCACTCATGGGGGAATAGGGGAAGTGAATTCGGAGAATGCGACTGCATTTCGCGACCTCCACCACGCACTTACACGAGGCGAGATTTCTGAGAACTGGAGCCATAAAATAAAAATACTAAGGATTTAATTTTCTTCTTATTGAATTTAATGCCTTATTAACTAATTTTAATCACATCAATTTAATTACGTCAATTTTAATTACCTCAACATTTCAATATACATTTAATTAACTTCTCTTTTTATAGCCAGCTGATTTTTTTAAATCAAAAAACTTTTTTCATTATCAAAGTGGTTTTGGTCTTGCAGTTTTAGTTTTAAGATTCCGCTTAATTCTCTTTCTTTTAATTTCTTGGTTATCTTGTTGTTATTTTCTTCATTCTGATTCATTATCTAGAGGGAACTGAATTTTATGATCGAAAATTCATATTTAGCGTATTTTATTTTTCGGCTTTCTTGGAATTTAGAGACAATGCCTTCTCAAAGATAACGTTGGAGTGTTTACTCCCGGGCCCGTGGGTAGTACAGTAGAGGAAGCAGCTGAGCAAAGAAGAATCAATGTGAGAGGAAACGTTGTTACGGGAGTCTACTGTACTGTAAAAAGCTATCCTATAGATAAGAATACCGATAGCGTTCCCTAAATTTTCACCCTCTTTCTTTCTTCATTATTATATATAGAGGAAACTTCCTATCTTTATTTTTCAGTGTTATATTGTCCGTTTTGGGATCACATTTTGGGATTCTGGAATCGAAGAAACGATCCCCAATTGAATATTTTGTTCTTGGCATTCGAGGATATGAAATCGGTAAGCTGAAACTGCCCTTCTTTCCAGAATAATTCTACCCATTTATAATATGTATGATTTTCACATTAGATACATTCCCACGAAAATAGAAAATATGAATTTGCATTCCACAAAAAAATTCTATAAAACTTACCAAAATCCTTTTAATTCTTAAGGATTTATCATCGGTGATTCACAAAACATCAGAATTCCTGGGAAAGCCTTCACTATCTACTGAAAAGTTGGAGATTCTGTTGGACCATCTCAGTTTTTCAAACATGAAAAAAAACCCAGCGGTGAATAAGGAAGAATGGATAAAGGCTATGAAACAATTTAACATTTCCACGACAGGGGAGAAGTTCCTGCGAAGTGGTGAAGTAAATCAGTGGAAGGTAGCAATGTCTCGGGAAATGATTGACGAGTTCGATCAGTGGACTTCACGTCAGCTCGAAACTTCAGACCTGACGCCGTAGGAGAAGAAGAGAGAATATTATAGAATTCTGAAATCCGAATGAAATGAATGAAAAATTTAATAGCATAGAATATAAACTAAACGTGGTATTTAAACATTACACATAAAAAATAATTCTCTTTTATTCTAAGTTGAATACAAAATATTAGTTGTTTCATCAATGAAGATTACATTCATTTAAAGAATAGGACTTCCCTGAGAATGAAGTGAATTCATTTCAAATATCATGCCAAATGATATTTCAATGGTGATTGTTGCAGTTGCTACTATTCCCCTTAATGTTCATTACTTGCCTGGCCTTTAAACAGAGGTCCCTTTATGATATTTTACGCATCAGAAATCAAGGCAATAAAAAGAAGAGAATGCAAGTAGATCGTTCAAAGTGTTAATAATAATATTCCTCCGATGATATTCGATCTGATCACTGATGAAGTGTTGAAACGAATTATTTAAAAGAATGCCTGGGGTGGGCCATACACCTCAGGTGAGTAACGAGGGTTGAATTCCCACGCTACAAAAAAATTTAAATTAAGGATTTCCCTGCCTACGATGAATCTGTCGTCTACGTCGTCGTCCGCCTCGAAAGAGCATTTGCCTAAACGGCACCCGTATCAGTGGATTCCTCAAAATGGGTCGTGGTCGGGCTGAAGCAAAAAAAAGATTGATTAGTAGTATGAATAAACTGCAGTTGAGTCGTAGCCTACATACAAATTCCATAAAAACAGAAACCAAGGCTCGGATTATAAAGCCACATTCGTCAGAAACTACTTGCATCGCCTAGTGACATAATGCACTATTACATCACGTGGTACGATTCGCGGTTTAAGAAACTCAACAACATGAGCCTCATACATCATAAAGAGTAAATTTCACCAGGGTCAAACGTTGCAAAAGACCAAAGTCATAGGTCATCTTCATTGTGAGAAAGTCAATCTCATTATCTATTGAGCTTTATCGGATTCTCCACTTTATTATTTGGAGTCCCGGAAAAGTCCAGTTAGACCTGAAAAAAAACCATTTTGTTCTGAAGAATTCAAAGCTACCAAAGACAATTGAATTATATACTTTTGTCATTTAAGAATGCTGAATGAAACAAGATAATATCAAGACAAAAGATGACGCGACGAATTCAATAGAGATCAATAAATAATGCGATTGACCCTTGTAAAATTCATCCGTTACATGGTATGACCCTTACGAGGTGTGACCCTCGAGACGTGTGATCTTGGCGAGGTATGAACCTCGTGACTTATCACCCTCGCGAGGTATAATCTTCGCGAAGCGTCACGGTTTTCGATAAAAGGTAATGTCGGCTGGTTTTTTACATTTTTTACATTCATTACGTAAATTGCGGGTTTTTTACAATGTCAGGTAAAAAATTGTGGTTATCGACAGATGCCTAACCCTTCCGACAGCGCTCGGCCTGAGGTGTTGGACAGTCAGAGTCAAAAATTTTCCTTGGCCGATACGCTGCCGCGTATCTCGACGCGCAGAATCTCACCCCAAAGATCAACCTATTCTAGTTGCGCAATAATGCGCGTGCGCGCATTATTGTGCCTCATTGCCTCTGCCTAACATGGAGGTACAATTTTTTTAAAATTGTGTAAATAGAGCGCAATTATTTTTTATTTACGAAATTCAGAAAATAACCAATTCATGAATCGACGTATCATACCCTGAATTTTCATAAATTCCCTTGCAGTAGATGGCGTGAAAAAGGGACGTAAACAATTTCTTCAAAGAATCATGTGTGAAAAAATTTAATAGAAAAACCTAGTGAATTCGCTAGAAAATTCGAGTGGATTTCTGTTGAACTTTCTCTTGGTTTTCTCGCCGATTGTATTGAAAAATTCCACAGCTTATCCGTGCGTTTCGTTCAATAGAAATATTTAATGGAAATATTCTACAGAAAATAAATCAATCGAATTCGATTTTTCAATAACGGATTCAAAGTTTCTAAATTTTTTGTTCGATTTTTTCAATAACAAAAAAATGATAGAGAGGAAAAAACTTGGAAAATTCATGTCGAGGCGTTTCTATAGAAAATGTTTCAATAGAATAAAATTATACAGAAAGATGAACTTTTTTTCCAGTAAATAGTTTTAGTGGACATTTTCCATAAAAGTAAAGCTGCGGAATGCTTCCATAGAATCAGCTACAAACTAATAGAATTTCAATACAAATCCAATATAATTGTTTGCTGTTTGTTTGTTGGGGTTTAACATCACATCAGCAGCTAGGTTAATAGTGATGGGCTCTTGACTCTTTCTTGTCGTTAGAGCTCACGACTATTTCCTTTGTAACTCGTAGGTTACGATGTTATGACAGAATTTCAAGTGAATGATCAGAATTCAATCACACATGATGGTGCGAATCAACTGTAGTCAGTTAGGTTCTCGAGACACGTAAAACTGTAGGTTGAATGTACATGATACGAACATGCTCAGTTCTATTTCTTCTCGGTATTTTACCATTTTATTTCAAACATTCGTAATTGTGTCCTTACATTATTCAACTAAATGAAAAAATGCAGAAATAATTCACCCACGGAGAGAAATATTCAGTAAAAATTACGGAATTCACAACTCGCTCGCCGATTACGAAATCGACTCAGAAAATTTCAGTGACGGTATGGTAATTTTTCACAGGAGATTCAGATAAAAACTACCGAACGCTCTGGAAAAATTCCGTGACAGTCCCGTAAAATTTCCTACAACCACATTTCGCTTCGAAATTACGGGAAAGATACGTAATTTTTATTGACTGTGTCTCTCCGTGCCGGTGCCAGGTTGCGAACTTCGTGCGTGATCGTTCACACAATTAAGTAAATGGAAGGATTTCAATTGAAGATAAAAAAACAAGACTTACGAATAGGTGAGTAAATCAACTTCTGCTGTTTAACTGGAAACCCAATAGCTGTTTCGATCAGAGTCTTGACCTCCGCCCCAGTGACTACCGCACGAAGATTCTGTAACTTCACTATATTCTCGTCCCACCTGATGCTCAAACAGACACGATCTTCCTGCACGTCGACCGTCCCATCCGGTCTTCTGTATAAAATCTTTCCTGGGATTCTCCAACTCCTGTGGCGAATTGTTCATGAAATCCTCCACAGAGGCAATTACCTCCAGATAACTCGCGAGAGTAATCAGCTCCTTGTCTGTTCTTCGATTCTTCATTGAATAGGGCTTGATGTGGTAAGCTGATTGGCGGTTCATCGCGATCTTCCATTCGTGATCATCAACGATGATCGTATTCTGAGCAGAATATTTCAACGGAAATTTCTCCCAAATAATATCTAGAGGTTTCACGTCGACCAATCCATATTGAGTTCCCACTGTAACCATCTCGCGAGCTGTCAACTGAAACGCAATTTTGTAGAAGGGATAATTCATTAGTCCCAGTCCACGTAATGTCGCAGCAGTCCAGTTCCTGCTCCTTTCGGACCAAATGACGATTTCATAATAAAGATATACTCGGCGTAAAAATCCGGATAAATTTGGCCGACACGCTTCGACGGAGGGAAATGATGCCACATTTGGATTGCAGAGGGTATGTTCAAGATCGAGGACCAAAAGTTTCTTGTTAAGTCTGTCAACTGGGAAATATAGACCTCGTGGTTGAAATGATGATATCCTATCTTGAATACCGTGAGGGCACCAGTTATCGCACGGTTAAGAAAAATTTGCAAGTTAATAATGGATCATTCGCGTTTCATGCATTAATTAATGAGTCTGATGGTTTCAATGTGAAGTCTGATATTTTTTTACTGCAAAAATGATAGATTTTTATCGAAATTCCACTAAATTCAATAAATATTGACGAAAACTGAACACCGTTCCCAGTCGGTAGTGATCGGACGCCCCAAACCGACCCACTGCAGTTCTCGGACACTAGGCATGTAGTTATCGGACGAAGTGAATTACAAGAGGTTGATCAAAAGAAATAGAGGAAATAACTCATAACAAACATCCGTACAATAGTTTTACTATTTTCCCAACAGTCATAAACCTTTAAAAATTAACACCAATCAATGATAAGGTACAAATATTTAATATACGTACGTAATATACATACGTACAATAGTTTTACTATTTTCCCAACAGTCATAAACCTTTAAAAATTAACATCAATCAATGATAAGGTACAAATACTTAATATAATGAAGGTTTATTCGTTATTGTTCTCTGGAAAGAATTTTTGCTGGGGGGCTGTTGGTATCTTTGTCCTCTCCGAGGCTATCATCCAATAATTCCTTTTTAATTTTTCTGGCCACATCGGGCTCCTCTCCTTTTATTTTACTTTCCACTGGTTTTTTCCTTTTTATGCCTCTCTTTTTAGCCACAATACTGGGACTCCTCTTCTTGGCTTTGGCCAATTCTTCCTTCTTCTGCTTTTCTGCCAACATCTTCTCCTTCTTGATTGAACGAGCCACTTTTTTTCGTACACTTCCCCCAAGACACACTCAGGACCTGGTTGAATAATTTCAGGTGCTGTTTTCCCCCTTTTCTTATCAAACAATGTTGACTTGGGAATATTGTATTCTTTGCTCACTGCTCCTAGTGTTCTCCCTGAATTCACGGCCTCCAGAGCTCTTCGTAAATCATCCTTGCTGTATTGTGATCTTGATTTTTTAGTTTTAGTCGTTTTTTCAGGCGTGGACCTAGAAGATAGAAAAAGTGGGTCAATTTCTCGATTCTACTATTTTGTTTTTTATTTTCATCATTGTTCTCATCATCAAATAATTAAAAGATTAACAAAAAAACCGTTTCAAAGAGAATACCGGCACTTGACAGAATGGATCTTTCGAGGTTAGAAGGCGAATAAATGACCGTGCGTTAACTGCGGTAGCCCACACTCGGGGCTTGCAGATTCCGGAAATGTGATTTCTTTCATAAAAAAAAATATTTTCTTCCTTTTTTTGATGTGTATGTATTCTAGATCTATCCCTCAACCTATACAAATTAATTCGAATCAATTTTCTACTCACATTTTGCTGGTATATCCTTGTGAAACCTCCAGGAAACTCAGCCTTCGCCTACTACATCACACTTGACGAACACATCAGTCACCAGACGGTCAGATAAAATATCTTCGTATTAATTACACACAATTATTTCAATATTCAAAAAAATTGTGACTTGTAGACCACTCATTCAACTCGACAAAGAGACAAGGCTAAATGGCCGTCGATGATTAGCTATATTTGATAAATGCCAAATTCCGTCGTTAGAGCGCTCGATTTCCGATAACAGGGGTTCGTGCGATAACTGGTGCCCTCACGGTATCAGCACCATAGATTGCGGGGTTTGCTGGTGTGAATATCTCAGCAGCAGTCGGATCCTTCCTTTTGTTGGCAGTTGGTTTCTGAGAGGTGCCCGCATTCGTTGGGAGTGCGGGTAGAGCTCTCGATGAAGAGAATAATTGGAGGATGATGTGAGTGTCGGTGGAGACGTCACATATGGCCGCACTGTCCTCAATGATTTTATCTGAATGGAAAAAAAATTTTATCGAACGAATGGAATTATAAATATGTTTTCGCACATTTGGCAAAAATTGAAAAGGAAATCGCGAAGCATGAGCTGCAGAATTTTATTTGAAATTCTATCGGAATTTCATTTTTTCGTGTGCAAATTTCTCAATTGCAAACGTTTTTTTTAAACATAAGCAAAATTAATTGACAAAAAAAATACTTTTATCTTTCTATTCAAATTTTTCTGTTGAGATTTTTTATATAGACATTCCTCCGCATGTTTTTTAAGGTTTTTTTAGTCCTTCTACATTTCAAGTGAAGGTAAAAACTTTGAGGAATTGCAATCGAAAAATTTTCATTGGAAAAAAATCTATTATTTTTTTTTCTACTGAAAATGATCCAATTCAGAGAATTGCGCAGGAAAACTGGAATTTCACAGCAAATGTGCAAGGATTTTTCATTTTATTTTCTTCGTCTGTGGGGGATTAATTATTTTTTCTTTTCAGATTTACCTTCTTCGGCATCAATGGGGCGGAAATGACGGCTAAATATGCCCCTAATTGGCGGAAATAGGTCAAGAACCTCATCAAAGTGGAAGAATCCATCTAGATTCGGCCCATTTTGGGGTCTGATGGGCGGCTCATGTCGTACTACGCGGACATTTCCTTGATTCGGCCCATTCTGGTTTCTGATGAGCGGCGCATAACGTACTACGTGAACATTCCCTTGATTCGGCCCATTCTGGTTTCGGAGGAGCGGCGCATGACGTGCTACGCCAACATTGCCTTGGTTTAACGCATTCTGACGTATGACGCATGACGTCCTTCGTCTTGATCCATCTCAAATAGTCTGTTTCAAGATCCCTCGTACTAACAAAAGAACTTGTTGTCTTCACTGAACACTATCGAACATACTCTCAACCAATTCATTCGCTAGAAAAGTCCTTTATTTATGCAGAAACAGTCGGAGTGACGTGCACCCTTCAAGGAACCCCTCGTTGCTGCCGCTATGTCGCGACCATGTCAGAATGGTTTTCGGTTTTGGTTAGAATTCTCCCCACTCCCATGGTAGGAGCTACGAACTCGGAATAGTGGGGGTAAAACCGAAGGCCACTCTCATACGGTCGCGACGATACGCGCCTACGGTATGGTCAGGCTGAGGAGCAGGGTTGCCATATATTTCAGAGGTCTCATCGCCAGTGATCCGCTTCTACATTGCCCAAATCGCTCAAGGTCGCCGCTAGTGTCACCAGAAAATAGCCCATTTTTGTGTAATTTTTTTTCAGCAGATGAAAACTATTTTCATTTAAATAACGAAAGCTATCGATTAGTAAGAAAAACAGCCACTAGTATTTTCATTTTTTTATAACATTGATAAACTAATTGAAATTACGAGCTCAGGATGTGATTAATCGAAAAATGCAAAAGACAAAAAATGTAAAACTCATTGAAATCTTTAAAACAGAATTTCATAAAAAATTGAAAAAAGTTGACCGTTTCCTCACAAATCGCGAAAAAGGCCCCTTCAAAGGCCTTTTTAGTGTTTTTCTTATATGTGCCCCACTTGAAATGCAAAAAACCAGTAGAAAAATTTGTTCTACGTATCAATATCTATCGAATAAAAAAAAAATTAGCCACTAGTACGTCAAGAATCACTTAGTGAACGCAAATGGGGGCTGTTTTCAGCTCTATACTCTTTTCTGTGGGAAGAGCTTTGCAGCTAGCGAGACTTAGAGTAATTTTAAGAGTAAGTGTAAGATGAGATCCACTACCTACGTGGACCGGAATAGTCGAAGAGCGATATTCAGTTTAATTTTTATTTTCAAGAGTTTACCAAGTAGTTGCTGTTGTGGAACCGTTTGAAAAGTTATCATTAGCATTAAATCCGTGTTCTGTGTACAATTATTTCGAATATTCTTGCACTTGTGGAGCAGAGTGCTTTAGCACCCTATGGACAACGGACCTGCCATCTGAACGAGCAAACCACCAGCTTGGGACGTAACAGCCGATACCCTCTGTGGGGCTGGGTTGGGCATGTACATTACATTGGTAAATTACACTGTTTTTTACCGACGTAATTTACGTAAATTACCTCGGCGAGTTTTTTTGCATTTTTTACATTACTTCGAAAAGCTTGCAATTTTCGGTTATTAGAATATTTTATTTTATTTCGACGGACGAAGACGCAGTATTGTACACATAAATATCATAAAAAATAGTATATTATGTCCCGAGGACAGATAAACCACGAATTTTAACTTCACTTTTTTCGGTTAGAACGCGGATCTCAGTACTTGGGGCATAAAATATTATTTTATGTCCCTAAGACCGTAAAACCGCAATTCTAACATTGATTCCCTCGGTTAAATCGCGTTTTTCGGGTCCGGAGACAAAATATTGTACGTCACAAGGCGATAAAACAATTTTCTGACTCCTGTGATCACGATCCTCGCCTTCGGCTCGAATTATAAAGCCACATTCGCCAGATAATCATTTTATCGCCTGATGACATAATATACTAATGTGTCATTCGCGATTGCAACGTAGATGTGGGAGCCATCAAGTGGCCTCTAAACTAACTCTTGAGGGGGCAACCAATGAGATCCCTAGAAAGAAACCAATCATGGAGCCCAACCAATGAGATCAAGGAGTACCCAGTAATCTCATTAGTTGCCCGCTAAGAGTAGTTAGTGTAAAGACCACTTGATGGCTCCCACAGCTAGGTTGCGATCACAAATGTAAACGGTGGCGTCGATTTGTGACTAGTGCGAATTTACAGTACTCCTTACAAAGCTTCGCTGACAGTCCTTATGACACAATATACTATCTCGCTGTTCTTTTATCTTCGTTCTTAGTCCACGAAGACGTCACTTCTTTGTGTATCTTTTTGTTGATACTCTTTTTGCCGCAATGTATTTAATAAACTATTGTTTATTATTCAACGGGCATATATACTTTACAATATGAACAGCGATCGATGTGTTCTATTTTACAATCAACACTTTAAATCATACATATTTGCTCCTGACTGTGTCAGGTATTGAATAGTGAAAATTTTCGATATGCGACGGTCATCATAGTCATCATATAGTATCGGTTGATTTTCCAACATTTCGAAAAGATTAGACGAGAAGATAGGGTTCCACCATAAAGTTATCAACATTTATTGTCTTCATATCCAGTTCCTCTACAGAAGGGATGCATTCATTAATGACTTCTACCCGGACATCTTCAATGTTTTTCTTCCGATTGTAAATTTGAATAATTTAGAACTCGTCTACGTACAAAATACGGAAGTCACCGATTGTCACAGTTGCCATCGTCCATTCATTCGTTAGCTCTCTTTACTAGCGCCATCGCTGAATAAGATTTAACGAGTACCTATGCGGAGTAATACACTACATGAGAAAACAGATTTACTGGATATTGAAATAAAATCTGCAAATGATTGAAATCATAGCATATTTTGTTTTCAAGAGTTCTTTACATTTTTCAGAGTAGGTAGTGAAAGTTCAAAAATGCTAAAAGCGCTCAGAGATAGTGGATTTTGAGTCATCGCTGTAAAAATTAGCATGTTTGTCTGAAATTGCTTATCAGCCTTATACCAGTTCGATTTATATGTCGCTGAGCTGATGAGATCACTCTCAGAAATTATGGTATTCCCACCCCAGCAGTAAGCAACTAATTGGAACAAAATGCTCAACAGCGCCAGAATAGTTTGTCCAGCAGGAATGGGATTATTAAGGCTGACTGTTTTTGTCTTAGAGAATTAGCAATGAAGGAACAAAAATAATGCAGCTGATGTTCACGGCTACCCTACGATTAATGAAATACTTACAACGAATAAGTGGATTCCAGTAAGGGATATCATTACCACACTTGAAACTAATTGTGGAAATAGAATAATTCCGTACACACTTTGCATTACGTCCACCATTCTAGAACTCGTTAGTTCACGTATTAGACCTCGGAAATTCATATGTATAAATTTTCCAATGAACTATTACCGGGCAATCTGTTGATAATGTTGAATACAATAGATCAATTCTTGATTTGGACTTGAATTGAATTTCTCCATGTCAATTTGGGAACACGCAAAATTTTTTGATTTTTCACTCGCTGATATCTCACTGAAAGCAGAATATATATAACTCCGACAACATTTCCTTAGACGAAAGTTGAGTATTTTCAATTGAGTGGAAATATGAAACGTCAGGCACATAACCAAACAGTCGTTCGCTATAACAGTGAAGGTCACGACTGTGAACATCAAATAATCTGTCACCAACAGGATCCAAAAATTCCACGTCTCAACAAAACTTCTTAAGCAAGTATAACTGTAACATCAGCAATAAAATGTTTTTGCGCAAAAGAGCATTCGGCATTGATATACCCGATTAAGACATCATTGAGTGTTCTTCGATCCTCGTTCAAACACTCTAAGTAGAAAAACATTTCACAGAATAGTGCGTCTAGTATCCATACTATAGTGAATAATTTTGATAGTCTGATGGTTTCTGACACGATCTTATCTCTGTAAAGAGCTGAAAGGAAATGATTATTGCAGATTATGAACACTGTTTTTGTAGTAAAGTGGTCAATAGACTAAAGTTGACTTGGCTCGTCGATGAAATTTCATTGAAAAAATCTGAGAACCTTAAAACAATAGCGACATTTTTGAAATATAGATAGGAAAGGAAATATCATTAAACGATAGTCTCTCTCAAATGTTGAAAAATTTATGGAAAATTGAATAAATGAATATATTAACTCAAACTGATTGACCATTTGGTTATTGATTGCTCATGTGTTTGAGGCAAATCACCAGTTTCTTCAGAGCATGGGAGAGTTCTCTCCCATAGAAGGGTAGTGGCTTACCACTGAGCGTCAAATACTTCAAGTTGAATGTGATATATGTTCCAGTGGACAGGGATGTGTGAGCCATATCTGAACTTCTCAACGAAGTTCCGATCCAACAATGAAGTCTCATCAGACGACAACTGTTACATTATGGCGATTTCGCGTCTAGCTTATGAATAATTCACTGATGTCATTAGAAGGTGTCATTATTCATTCATGGTAACAATATTATATGCAACAATTTTTGCAAGCGAATATTCATCATTCGGGTAAGTATCATGAAATAATAGTGAATACGTTACATTGATGCATATGGCTCATGAAATTTCAATGAAGAAAGAATGAAAGAGGGGATTCCCACCTGAGAATAGGAAGAAAAGAGCGGAGCAATCGATTTTCTCTGTCTGGGCACTATCGCTGAACTTGTAAGTTGTGTCAGTCTATACCTCATGCACGGAGGGGATAGAGGTACCTCTGTTCTCCATGGATGGCACGGAAAGTGCTGAAGACGGCTATAGTCTAGAGTATTCTCCTTATTATACTATGTCGGAGGTAGGGTAAGCTACCCAGTAGATGGACACTGCTCTATAGATGGACGAGCTACTTTTGGATAGGAAATTACGCAAAAAAATACTGAAATGTGAATTGTTGCTTTGAATTTTCACTAACTGTTGTGATTCTTAACCCCTGAGTGACGATTCTTTTTCGATCAATTTTTTTTTCAATTGCTAAAAAACAAACGTCCATCTACCGGGCGGTTTTCTTAGGCTTCCATCTACTGGGCAGTTTACCCTAGTGTAATAACCATTTTTTATCGTTATTTTACATCGCTTCAACTAGAGATGGAAATGCGTCACATGACCCATCATATGACGGTCATGTGACCGTCATTGACGGTCACATGACGGCTGTCACAATTCCCCCTCCCCCTTCTGTGACTGTCACAACCTGTCAAGAAAAAATGTTCATCTATATAGATGAAACTTTATTTTTTTCTCGGTCAATTTTCAGTTGAATTCCTTTTGTATTGGCCTATTCCGAATTTTGAAATGGAAATCACGTTTTTTTTCAATCCATATAGATGAAACTATTTTGTTTTATTCATGACTGTCACAAATTGGAAATTAGTTATGACCGTCATTATGCAACTATATAGATGGTTTGACAACAATTTGGTTACAAATGATTTGTGACAATCATTTGTAGTTGGAAAATTTGTGCATCACATGACCGTCATTTTTTGGTCATATGACGCGACCGAAAAAATGGCGGTCATTTTGCATCTCTAGCTTCAACCCGGTTAGGGTATACTGCGATGATGATCAAGACTTTAAATGGTTAGATCGCACCATTCTACCCGGCCGGGATTTGAACTTGGAACCTTTTGCATGTGAGGCAACGAACTTACACTGAGAAAAAAAATTACTTTTGCCGAGTAAATTTACTAACTACCAGAAAATCCACACATTTCAAATCCGAATAGGGGAGGATGGGGCAAAACGGTCCCCCTTCAATCGTCAATATTTTCCGATTGAATAATCCGATTGGGAAGAGTTAGAGCTCGTTTTGAAGAATGAAAAATTATCTTCAAAATGAAGTTGAAACTGGGAATTTTCACAATGTCATTCACAAGTTATTGACAATTGAAGGGGGGCCGTTTTGCCCCACCCTCCCCTATTTATATACATTTACTTGGCAGAAGTAATTTTTTTTCTCAGTGTACCCATTGCGCCAAGCCACCGGGATAATAAGCATTTAATGTGTAGATCTATCAAAAGCAGTGGCAATGGACCAATTTATTCAATAAACTGTTATTTATTATGCAATGAGCTAATAACTTCGCAGTATTTTAGACTGAAATTCATATATTGAAAATAACATTACATATAATTCTGTTTTGGAATAACGTCGTGAAGAACCTATCAAAAATTATATACATCTTTATAAGAATCTCGTTCTAATACGGCTTCCATGTCATTTTCAACAACAAACAACTTAAGTGACAGTCCGCAATAGTGTAAAATATCGCATAGCAACGGAAAAAATCTGAAAAGTTCGGATAATTGGATACCTCCGTCGGAAGAATGTACTCAAATACAAACCGTAGTAACTTGAGGCATGTCCAAATGAATAAAACCGTACGCTGAGTAGATATATTCATGTTGAGTTTGAATCATTATTAATAGGATCATAGTTTTTATGGATGTATTAAATTCTGTCCACGAACACTCGTAAGCTGCCTGACGTACTCCAGCGATCTATTGAAACATTACGGATGGTAATTCTTATTGATATGATACTCAAAAAGCTGTAATTTTTTTCATTGCCTCATCATTCAGACGTTGAGAACATGCGCAAAACATCAAAGTTTGTAGAACGATGGCACTCGCGTGCACAGCATTTTTACCGACATCCCCCCAATTACTCTCTGCAAGTCGCTGCAACCAAACAGTAATGTGATACAACAGTTGTAATTAACACAATGCGTTGTAACTCAACCACAAAGTTTAAGATACATATTGCAGACTATAAAGACAGGTGCATAGATCTATTCCATTAATAAGTACAGTGGCAAGTAGTATTGGATTGTATATCTTCTCCAAGAAGTGGACGTATCTACAATAAATACATTTAGTGAAAGCGATGAAAAATCATTTTCTGATAATGAATATGCTAACCCAAACAATTCCAAATGTTCATCAATATTTCTTTTTAATCGCTGGATAATCTTTGTTGGACCGTATGACCGCATCTGTGTAATGGGACAGATATGGCGGACGTCATTTCCGAGTATCTGAAAATAACTATGCAAATTTTGAGTGGCTGAAGCCACCCTAATATAATGAGACTTCATAAAATCGGGAACACGTCACTTGGAATTGGATGGCTAAGTGCGTTGTGATCTGAGCAAAAACGGCATCTGCTGCCAGCCAGTAGAGACCTAAGAAAAATATTCCGACTGTCTCTAGGGCGATGCAGAAAAAGAATGGCCTCACAGAAGTCAATGTGAAAGGATAATTTGCGGGATAGACAGTCTCCGAAAATTCAAAGGAATAATTTGATCCAGAGCAATAAAACTGCAAATATCCCCTGAAAGAAAATTACATCGTTATTCGCGATCGCAACGTAGATGTGGGAGCCATCAAGTGATCTCTCCACTAACTACTCTTGGCGGGCAACCAATGAGATCACTGGATTCTCTTTGTTCTCATTTGTTGAGCTCCATCATTGATTCCCTCCGAGGGATCTCATTGGTTGCCACCCAAGAGTAGTTAGTTTAGAGACCACTTGATGGCTCCCACATCTACGTTGTGATCGCGAATTGCTGAATGTTTATGGCTGGAGGATGAGAGGGTATAATCTTAAAGTTACCTGATCGGCAATAGGACATACGCTGTGAGAAGTAGCCCAACTATTACGCTGTATATAATTCTGAAATGGCGTGCTGCTTGAGCATCCTTCATCATACACTCTGTTATAGTATTGCGGGATACTTGAATTTTCCAACGAAGGTAACATAATCGTATTAAGTCATACAACTCTCGGCGATATATCCATATTCGAAAGCCCTATGGAAAATTTCAAGTATTCCGCCATGTTATTTTTGTCAAACTTGTGTAGATGGCTACACGGAACAATATATGTGGGCCACAAAATTTTTAATATTCCACCATTGTGACGATATATGAATTGTCGTTATGATATACTTGATTCCGTGTGGGTATGGATAAGTCGATTAAAAATCCTTGATCGTACTTTGAATATACTCAAAAAACCAGAGAAGCAAGCTGCGGCAATTTCAATAGTTAACATGGAATCCGTTTGTACAAATCCCAAAGCATTACGTATATCACTGATTAAGGCGAAACATAATCCTCCTCCTCCGAAAATGAACGGGATGACTTCCCAATAAGGCCATTTGGGTTGGTCCAGTGTGAAAACGTGACGTATTGAATACAACCCTGTCAGTTGTAGAATAATTAGATCACCACCAAGGTAATATTCAAAACCCGATTGTAATACTTCCGAATTATCTGTACACTTTGACATTTCCGTGGTGTTTGTCGCGATGAGAAACTCTAAAGTATATGGTGCGCTAATTCATCCGATTGATGTAATGAGCAATGAATATTTAATACGATGATGCGAAGGAGCGCAACTCATGCACTCAATGACGGACAATTCTCCTGCATTATTATCACCTTCAGATCAATGTTTCTCAATTAAACCATAGTTTCACATGCTGGAACCAACTATATAATGTATAAGATCCAACTTGTATACCATTAATCGATGAGTGAAAATCGAGAAGGAATCATACACTGCGCATAATGGCTGATTCGCATTGTTCGATAAGAATACTGAAAAAAATAGATCACGTTAATAATGAAGTATTTTTCCACACACCAGCGCGAGGATGTTGTTCTTTGCTCGCCGTTGAGCGGGAAGAAAGCGAACACTTCTCGCGCTATAATGAAAAATCGCTCCCTTGGACGGAAAATACTAATTACTTCTTGCCCTTGGGTGGGACATATTCAATATTCATAGTCACTGTGAATTTGGAGCAAGCGAGGTGAAGGTACTAATTGGGAATGAAATCGTTTGCGAAGGACGAATGGAAATTGAAACTAAGATGACTAGACGCCCGGTGGCTTGGCGCGGTAAGTTCGTTGCCTCAGATGCGAAAGGTTCCGAGTTCAAATTCCGGCCGGGTAGAATGGTGCGATCTAACCATTTAAAGTCTTGATCATCATCGCAGTATACTCTAACCGGGTCGAAGCGATGTAAAATAACGATAAAAAAAAGGTGACTAGACACGTCGTTTCAGGTGTGTGGCTAACACTATAAAAAAGTGTATGATGATATACAACCTTTGTTGTTTAAATGCACGATATGTTACTGTGTTGAAATGCTTTCTATCACTGAACACCAGATACTGCGTGTTGAATGTTATAAGTTTCAATTGCGAGCGGAGCGTGAGCCATATCCAATCTTCTCACTGAAGTTTCGACTCCACAATGAAGTCGTGTTAAATGACGGCTGTTCCATTGAAGCGACTTGCTGTCTAGTTTATAAACAATTCAGTGATGTGCTGATGAGTCGTCATCATCCATTTATGAGAATAATGTTATATGCAGCAATTTTTGCAAGAGAATATCCGTAATTCATGTAGAGATTGTGAAATAAAAATGAATACTCATCATTATTGCATATGAATCATGAATGAATAACAAGATACGGATAAGGGAGGGCATTCCTACCGGGGAATAGGAGGAAAATAATGGAGCGATCGATTCCCTCTGACTGCCAGATAGTGGCGACAGTAAGCTCGCGCGAGTGGTTCACCCTACTTTGGTGGAAAAAGTACTGCGTCTGACTTTCACCCAGGGTTGGGCATCTCGGACTGGCGGCAGTTTTTTACGTGACGACGTAAAAAACCGGTAATTTACCTACAGGGCGTAATAAATGTAAAAAATGTGAAAAACTCATTATTACATATAACCTTACAATTAACAAAGAGATAGTCAAATTTCAAATGTCACGAGGGTCACAAAGGGGACGATCAAACTTCACGAGAGTATCGTATTCCTTTGTGACCATTGTGACTCGCAATGTTTGACCCTCTTGCGATTTGCTCATTCCGTTGTATAACGTTGGAACATAACCATTGTGACATTCAACCCTCATGAAATTCAAATATTCCCTTGTGATTCGTGACGTTTGACCTTCTTGAAAATTTAACGATTCCTTTGTGACCTTCGTGAAAGTTAAAATTCCCTTGTGAGTCTCATGATGTTTGACCCTCGTAAAATTAGATCGTCCTTTGTGAGCCTCGTGACGTTTGACTCTCGTGAAATTTGACCATCCCCTTATGACCCTTGTGACGTTTGACCCTCGTAAAATTTGAGAATCCCCTTGTGATCCACGTGACTTTTAACTCTCGTGAAATTCGCGATCGCGACGTAGATGTGGGAGCCACCAAGTGGTCTCTAAACTAACTACTCTTGGAGGGGCAACCAATGAGATCCCTCGGAAGGAACCAATGATGGAGCTCAACAAATAAGATCAAAGAGAATCCAGTGATCTCATTGGTCGCCCGCCAAGAGTAGTTAGTGGAGAGACCACTTGATGGCTCCCACATCTACGTTGCGATCGCGAATTTGGCCATCGCTTGTGACCCTCCTTACGTTTGACTCTCGTGAAATTCGACCATCCTCTTGTGACCCTCGTGACGTTTGACTACCGTAAAATTTGACCATTGTAACATTTAACCTCCGTGAAAAATGACCATCGTGAAATTCAACCCTTGTAAAATTCAATCATTTCCTTGTGACTCTTGAAATGTTTGACCGTTGTAAAATTTCACTCTTGTGACATTCGACCCTTACCCCGTCGATCACGTGAAGTCTAACCATTATGACGTCTAACATAGTTAATAATTGCTAGACAGTCTAACACTTATGATTTATATTTCAAACTTTTTTTTTCATCAGCCAACACGTCTCGAGAAAAACGAGGAGTTTTCTCAAATACCGGCAAATGGCGACGTGTGTTGTAAAAAATGTAAAAAACTTATCAGGTAATTTACCTAATTACCTGATAACCTTATTACCTGATTACCTTATTACCTTATTACCTTATCAGGTATTTACCTAATTTTTTACATGTAAAAAACTAGGTAATTTACCGGAGGTAATTTACTTCCCAACCCTGCTTTCACCTTTAAAGGGTTATGATGAAAATAAACTAGCCCTGAGGAGAAAACCTGCATTTGGGTCAAAACGTCGGCACTTTCATGATTCAATTTTATTTGAGTCATTCACCTTGAAACGCAAGGCCGACTATTATTTTAATAATCATTCTCGAATCCATTTTTATTGCAATAAATGAATACTCGGAGGAGAATCAGGAACCATAATATTTTTATTAATACGGAAAATTCATATTTTAAATCGAATGAACAATTTACTTATTTCAAATAAATAGTTGTCATATTTTACGAAAATCACATTTTCCTGTCTTTTGTGAACGAATTTATTAGAAAGTATGTTTCAACAATATTCGTGGGCTATGTGGAAAAAGGTCACATAAACTTAATGCAGGAAACACGAAATCTGGACGATTTGAGCTCTCTAGAATCATTCTGATCCAATTTTTGATTACACTTTTCACTCCAGTATATACGACCTTTTACCATCATCCCTCCGATAGTGAAATCATAGAACAGAAATTTCTTCCCCTCCCCCCCTAAATGTCTTACGTGATATATGTACAGTCCCTAATAATTATTACACGTTCATATTTTTCGAGTTTATTACCACGTCAAAGCGATAATAAATTATTAGTATCAAATAAAAAAAATTTCTTAATAGTAAAAAAACCTGTATTTTATATAAAGAAAACTTCGAATAAAAATTTTGATGAAATTCTAAAAAAAACTTTATTTGGTACTATTTAAATAAATTTTTATTTGATTGAAATCAATCATTTTTCGGGGTGAAGATTTTATGATTCAATCAATTTTTTCTCGTCTACACACTATGGCACTTGCGCGGACCCATCACATCAGTCGATTCTCCAATACAATCAATTTATACAAAGATATGTCACTCAACCAGTCCTCATTCAATTTATTAACAGGCGTAAGGAGAATCACGCGCCTCGTCAGACTAAATAGTAATTGATGGGCTCAAAATATAAGACCGGCTGACTTCACACATAATACTCCGTAATTTTAATGAAAAGTTCCATGAAAAATGAATATATAAAATTATTGTGTTTCATGAAAAACTACACAATTGACTCGTCAACTTTTCCTGCTAATTCTAAAATTTCAGCTAAGTTGGGCAATGCCTTTCGAATAATTTAGTCTAGATACCCCCTTTCATCTAATATGGGAAGGATCTTTACGAAAATCTCCCTGACCTTTGGATTCTTCAGAAGATTCACCTTCGCCACCCCATTTTTCATTACCTCATCCATCGGCTCAATTTCGTCGTCCTCTGCTATCATTTTCGGATAGAAGGTGAGGGCTGCCATGAGTGCCAAGTGGCGACGTTTGTGCATAGATTTTTTCAATTGCTCCAAAGTAGGAGGAGTTGCAACACAACCCAGTTTTTTCATTGTGCTTGACAACCGATCCAGGAACTTTTGTAAAAATATGTCGTCATGGGTGAATTTCAAACTTATCTCAGGGACAAGGCTGAGGAAGTAGGCGAGGTCACCGGCAGGCGAAGTCCAGATACTCATTTGATAATCCACCTGAGAATAGAAATCATGCAGAAAACGATTACAATTGGTTCGTCAAACATTTATAATCCAATCATTTTGAAATCACTTACGAATCGACACTCTTGAACTCCTCCATTTTCATTATCCTTGAACATGATGTTGTTCATCCACATATCGCCGTGATTTAGAACCAACAATTCATCCTCATCGTATTCAAAAACAACAAAAAGCTTCTGGGTTATTTCCTCCGACACTTTCTGAAGCTTATCAGATATCGAAACGAATTTTCCATTCTGCCAATCACGAATTCCGGCTCCAATGGACGCCAAACTTGTTGAAATAAATCGGAAGAACCCTTCGGGTAGATTACGACTGACAAAGGCATTCGAAATTCGAGACAGCGATCCAGGATTCTGTTTTGAGAGAAATAATGCACCAATACTAGAGATGTGAATACCGTCATGACCGGTAATTACTGGGCCGCGAATCTGATCATATGGTCAGAAAAAAAATGACGATTGGCTGTAAGCATGAAATGACCAAATAAATTTTGGACGTCACTTTATTTTTGAAGGTGGAAAAAGGGCGAAATTTGGAGTCGAAGACTCCTCTTAAACTTTACTGTACGACGCCCTCTCGTCAAGTTATTCAACTTTGAAATTGACCAATTACAGCGTTGCTCCACCCAGTGCGCCAGTGGTTGTCAACTCAATCATTTTCAAATGAGAAAAATCAGTATTTATTTTCCTTGCCATATATACCCTATTCGAGTTTTTACATATTTGCGGTTTCATGGGCCGACTTCCTCTCCAACCGTGTTGCATTGTACCCCAAAAGCTGTACCCCACGTATAGACTCTCCTGGTGACCAAGGGAAACCATGGAAAACCTTGGTCGACACGGGCGTCCATCAACCGAGCTTCATCGGAGAATGTTTTCCTAACACTTCTCCGATGATTCTCAGTGTCTAGACTTCCGTTCGACGGTTTCCGAAAGATTAAAAATTCCAATTGTCCCAAGCCGGATTCGAATCCGCACCTCATGGGTCCTGCCGTCCGGGCGAGCGATTTAACCACTTCGGCACCGTCACCTGTCCCAATGAGAAAAATCATCATTTTGAAATTTTTTCTCCATTACTCAAGGTATGACGATTGAAAACGAAAAATTTAAAAATGATAATTTTTCTCATTTGGAAACGGTTGAGTTGAAAACCACTGGCCTAGTGGGCGAAGCGATGCTGTGATTGGTCAACTTCAAAGTTGAATAACTTGACAGAGGGGGGGGGGAATTGTACATCAAAGTTCAAGAGGAACTTTCGACTCCAAATTTCACCCTGTTTTCACCATTAAGAATAAAATGCGCAGTTTTGGCATACCGTGTATAGATGACCCTCAATTTTTGCGTACCAGTTCAGTGATGTCTGTTATTGAGAATTGGGCCATTGACAATAATTAATAATTAATAAATAATTAATAATTCAATTCTATTAAAAAGTTGTACGAGCGAACCCTCAAAAGATGACCCAAAAATGATCGAAATAAAAATGATGGTCAATTTGCAACTATATACATGATTTTTGGTCATTCAAGTCTGGCCTGGCCGAAAGGGAAAATGACAGTCATTCCACATCTCTAACCAATACTGATCAATAGTATTAGAAGGTGAAATAATATTGATCAATCTTCCCAGAAAACAACTTTTTCCTTCTTACCTGTTCCTCCAATAAAATCGACCCTGCATGAAAATCTGCGAGATTTTCCAATGTCATGAAGACTTCAGCTTCATTGAATCCCACTTTACGATTTCTATTGCGGAATCCAAGAGGCATCAGGTCCTCCATAATAATAACATTGGGCTTATTCAAGGAGTAATATACCTTGGGGCCCAATTTCTTTCCAACAAGCTCCTCGATCTGTGGCAAAACATCTTCCAACATGTGTCGCTCATTGTCAAATACCTTATTTCGACGGATGTATTCTCCAGCAAGGTCATTGGCACCTGGCGCCTCCTTCATAATGAGATGTGCTTTTCTATCGACCCTTTCGAAGGCAAGTCCTTTGGGCACATTGCAGACATATTTGAGGGTGAATCTTGTCAGATAACTCAGATAATTCTCCCCTTTATTCAAGGCTGCTTTTTTCTCGAGTAGAACAACATCCTGAATGGTTTTATCGCGCATTCCCTTATGTAGAATATTTTGGAAGAAGATGTCATTGGGGCTGAGATTGTCTAGGGCCATGGCGTGCTGGAATGGCAATTGGTATGTTATCCTTCACAAACACTAGCCTTAACTCCACTTTTACTCGATTCGACAGGCCGAAAAGCCGTTGATTATCGTTGAGACGAGAGCACTTGAGATTTGCCTTGATTCCAAGAGGATTCTTAGTATTTGTATCGCATTTACATGATCCCCACCCATCGCTTGACCCAAGGTTGCAGTACCGAAGCGAATAAATCACGTGCGGTTATTATATAATAACTTCGCATTCTTGTGAGTAATAATGGTTTCATTCATTAGGGTTTACTCTCATCATGATGAAGCATTATTGACATACCATTCGTCCATCTTCTAATGCCCCAGTAACGGTTTAAGCTGTTGAAATCTCGATTTGGATGGAGTGCATGGGGTGTGGTGGAACCCTTGAAATCCTCTTCATAGCTTATAGAATAGACCACGAAGATTTTTTAGGCGCAATATCAATCTCAGCTTTCGAACATTTATTTCGAGAAAACGATGCTTGAAAAAATGAAATTTAACACATTGCGTCCATAAGAGGTGCATAGGGGAGGGGAGGGCAAAACGGACCACTGACTGAAAATTGGTAATTTTTGTTTTTTTTCTTTCCTTCAAATCAGGATCACTGAATGTGTTGAATTAAAAGTGAGTTTCTTGGATCGTAACCGTCACAGGGGTTTTATCGATGACAAGTGTTGTTGAACCGCAATTTGATCAGATTTGCTAATCACCTGAAACCACAAATGACTTTGAATTTGCTCCATTCGGAAGCAAAAACAAAAATTATCAATTTTCTGTCAGTGGTCCGTTTTGCCCTAGGGATCCGTTTTGCCCTGCGTTTCACGAATTCGCGCGTTCCTGAAATCTGGCAACTGTCCGCTCAGCGAGGTTAAACCGAACACATGCACGGAGAGAATTCAATAGTAAAAATTACCATGGCTATAGGAGAGAATGCTGTGACAATAGAGTAAAAGTGTCTGCTTCCAACGCACCCTACATAATGGTTCTTACTATGTCCCATGGTAATGCTTACCATGTCGCATGGTAATATTTACTATGTCACATGCCTACTATGTTCCATAGTAATACTTACTATTGTAGAGTACGCAGGTTTTCCTGATTTAAATAGACCGCGTTAATCTCTCTCACGGCGTAATTTAATATGAGGGCATCACGTTACGATACCTGAGGTGAATTCAAAATTTGGGAGAGGGAAGAGGAGTCTCGCTGATATCAAGAGGCATCTTCTTGAGCCTTCTTCTTCTTGGGACGACGACACCGAGCACACCGGGGACGGAGTTTGACGAACTCGAATTGTTGGTGTCTAACGAAAGGTACTCACCGGAAGTGAAGAGACTGTTTGCATCCTGTTGGCATGGACTACAAATTGACGATTGTCGGCAGAGCTCACCGACGGATATAAAAGAGAGACGACATCCAGTCCACAAGTATTCTGAATGTCGTATCTCATGACAAAGATGAGTATCTGATTATTTTTATTACCGCTGTACATCGATCGCATCATCGACTTTGAACCCGGAATAGAAGCTAATCCACGAAGACAACGAAACAAGACGTTCGTCACAATTAATAGTTGAAAAATTGTACAGAGTCGTGAGTAAGCAAGTTATAATATCGATTCAAATCATCTAATCGACTATCAACTTCTCATTATCTATCGCGTAAATCAACTAAACAAATATCAAGTGTACAGTGTGTTATAGTTTAATATTATTGAACTGACTCGGCTCAGTGTCTAATATACTGTGTTTTTTTTCTACAACAAATCGCCTAAAAAATTCCTGCACTTTCCGCTCCGTCGCCATCCTAGGAATCATCGGAATTATCAACATTTTTAACATTGGTACCTTTTAATTGTCGATCACTCTGTTATTCAATGTACTTTCGGAGAATCAATGAACGCGTGATTGTTATTCCATTTTATAAATAATTTATGTATGGATGACTGTGAGGTTGATCGAGCTAATAATAGATGGTCGGTTCCATGAGTTAGTTTCTATAAGAAGAGGTATTATAGTCGCTATACATTGTCTATACGGAACAAATCATGAAATGAGGAAAATTTGAAGGATATCAAGTATGTGTAATGTTTAGATCGGAATGATAAAATATATTACTAATTTTACAATGAACGTTTTTGCATGGATAAGCATTTGATTTGCCCGTGAATATTTCGCCCTTTACTATACGCTTGTTTTATTACACTATGTGATATAGGAATGCCTACTATGTCCGTAGAAATGGTTACCATGTGAATGGACGACGTTTGATCCTTTAACTCAATTCTTCTCCTTCGCTTGACGCCGTGTAGAACTCCAAATATAGCAAGAGGGGATCGAGTGGAAAGATCGCTAGACGTGTCCTCTTGTCTCTCAAATTGAAAATTCACTATTGTGAGCAAAAAAAAATGTTTTCCTTGAATATTTGGTAATTGTCAAAAAAGTCGAGAATCCTTCAGGGTAATTTACGTAAAGTACGTGGGTAAAAAACTGAATTTTTTCCGATGCTATTTATGTGGTCAACCTTGAACTTAATGCAACGCTAGACGTCCGCAACGCTTGCAATTATCACAAATAATCGAAGAATCATTGAACGATTGCTTCACGCATGGCATACATTTCCGGCTATATCCATTGCGGCATCACCCCAATGAGTGATTGATTGCAAAGTACAGTGGACTCTGGTTAGAGGCATATTGGTTAGTGTCGAACTTCCCCTCAATTTTTTTGTCTCGCCGCTGGAGCGCTTCCCCCACTCTGTCCCCACGCACGCCGGAGAGTAAACACTCCAATATTTTCTTCAAATTGCTATTGTCTTCCGATTCCAGTAAAGACGAAAAATAAAATATTCTGCATTTGAATTGTCGATCAAAAAATTTAGTCCACTTCTGGCTGTTATGGGGGGAGGATCTCGTTTTGTTGGCATAAAATTAATTCGAAATTGGATTAAATAAAATAATGAAGGGAGGTAAAGAAAACGACTGTAACATTTTTGATTCACATGGTTCGTTAACTCCAGAAGAAATATCTGTTCTATGGAATGTTAGGTACAAAGCTTCTGTGATCAAATATAGTCAATGAAATTAAAAATATTGATAATAAAAAAATCGTCTGAATCTATATGAATATTGCTATTATAGTTGAAACTGTGAACTAAAGTTTATCATTAAAATAAAGTGTTGAATTGAGAGAGAAAAGAAATAGTATTTTTCATTTTATCGTTCCCAGTTTTCTCGGAAGTCGGGCTCGGCGTGAGCGCGTAGTGGGGGCAGGGAAATAGAGTCGAATTCTCCGAATTCGCTTCCCCTATCCCGCAAAACAGTCGACTCTAACCAGAGTCCACTGTACGTGATTTGCAGATTTTCTCGTCGGGTTCCATTAGTGCTGCCACGGAACATGCTAAATGCGTAACAGAGATCTTTGTCAAGTCGAAGGTCTGCTCGTAAGATAGATTGTTTTTTCTGCACTGAATATTTGCTGACTCAATTCGTGTTTGAGGCGCAATCAGGAATTGCGCCTTGAGCAGGAATTAATTAGGCGGCATCGTGGATTCTGTGATAATGATTGTTAACTATTCAAATCGATGATTGCCTGTCAATTTGCATGATTGCATGTTTTGAAGTGAGTTCGAATATTGACATAGATCTGTTACTATGCGTGGGTTGAATTAATTGTCATACTGACTAGCTTTTCTCAGATCCGCGATTTTCTCTAAAAAAATTATTCCTAAAACTTTATTATTTAAAAAAATAACAACGAAATTTCAGTTCTTCTTCCTTTGATTCTTCTCACCTGATTATTATATCGTTATCTCTTCTAACTCAAGAACGTCAGCAAAATACGTAAATATACAAGTTATTTTTTTGAGGCTATGGACCTCTATCAAATGAGTAATATTTGATATTTTTTTAACAGTTATATGGAAGATTTTTACTACTGTTAGTCGCTTCATAACTTTTTCCTAATTTTTGCTCATTTTTAACAGTTTAACAGGACATTTCTCAACACATAAATAAAAAGTATTTGCTGGAGAGTAATCGTAACCGCAAGTTCGCCTACAGACTCGCCCGCACGCCAGGAGGTGAGCTCTCTCAGTACATGATGAGCACGCTCGCCCTGATGTCCTCGAGTGGAAATTTCTCCAAGTCCACCTGAAGTACGGATCAGAACTTCATCCAGTTTTTGTCAGGTTCGACTGATGAGGTGATTTTTTATGAGAACCTGACCAAGTTTTGAGCCAGTAGATCGGATTTGAAAATCTGCAGGCGGACTCAGATCGAGTTCTCAGGTCAGTCTGAGGTCAGGATGTCTAAACCCAATTTGATCTGATTCGGATCTGATGCACCTGATTTTCATTTGAACGGGATCAATTGAAGAGAAAATGATCAGTTTCAGATCCGGTCCACCTGACATTAATTTTAATAAGTTTTTCGGATAATTTAATTAACTATTAGTATCATATTCAAATTAAGTTTTATCAACCATTATCAATAATTATTTTCACTTTTTAAAAAGGATCATTATAATATAATTAAAATAAATTAAATTAATTTAATTTAATTAATCAATTTAATCAACAATAATTATGTGCAAATAATTTAATTAACCATAATTAGAAGCGTATGCGAAGCGAGCAACCAGGCTCTGATTTTTTTCAACTTGTGTCGAGAAATATTTGCAGGAAAGAAATCCAAACAATTTAAGTATACCATTAAAATGAAAATCCAGTTTCTAGCGAATTTTTCATGTATTTTTGTCATGTGTGATGTACCTCGATTTCCATGATTGAATCTCGAAAAATTAACAATTTTCTTCTCTAGTGGAATTGAAGGGCCTTCGGCGTAAAATCCTCCTGAAGAAACTCATTGCATGACGGCCGATAGAAAACAACAGATTTATCTTCATGGTTCACTTCCATGTTGATAATCTCCGCGAAACGCTTATCCGACAAATTTTTCATGAACTTGAAGAACGTCTGCGTGAACTTGGTTGCAAACTTTCCCTTTTTCTCTCCACTATTATCATCTGAGAAAATGTGAAGATAAATTACTTGACGTTTATCATCCCCTGAGGTTTATTTTCAACTTCCTCGTGCAGTCCATGAATATCTGTCGAAATTCTGCAGGAACTTGACATGTCGATGAGAACTATCATCATTCGGTATGAAAGTGGTCCTGTGAACCTCAGGTATCACTATCGGGCTGACCTCCGGCGCGTCAGGTTGACCTGCCTCCGCTACTGTGGCAATATCAGGCACCGGTTCTGCTGGATTTTCTGACCCTTCGTGAGATATCTCAATGTCACTCATGATTTTGAAGAAAATTCTGTGAATTTCAACCAAAAATTTACGTCAAAGATTTAGAATTTCTTGTGTCATGTGAAGTCATCGCTAAGTGCTTTGTAAAATGGTACAGTAGACTCTCGCTAGTTGCTCATCGAAAGGGCTATAGGGGTACCATTTCCGAGAAATGAACAACTTTCCACCGGCCCCATTTCTCAAGCAATGCCGACCCAAGTTCTCAGAAAAATGAGAGGGAATGAATACAGTAGACTCTCGCTAGTTGCTCATCGAAAGGGCTGTAGAGGTACCATTTCCAAGAAATGAGCAACTTTCTACCCCCCCCCCCCCTCCCACTCATCAACCAATGCCGACCCAAGTTCTCAGAAAAATGAGAAGGAATGAATAGTTTTATTTTTGAATGAAATTATTTGGACCTCTGTGTTTACGTACGGAGGACAAAAGGAAGCGATAAGGCGGCCGAGGGTGCGGGACAGCGCTTGAGCGTCCGAGAAGATGATTACTGTATATATTTTTTCCGGACACATCGGATGTTGAATTAAACATGTTTTCAAATATCCATTGTTCCCCGTTGCTCATCAATGCAGGGTGTATCTTCCTCGGTCAGTTGGTCGATGATGAAGCTAGCGACCGTGTCAGGTGAGTCTAGAGAGATACAAGAAACCACAGGAAGCAATTTTTGACGATGTCATTTAACAATCTCGAGCACCACAGGAAAATTTTTGAAGATAAAAAAAAATCAAATTGTAGAATGAATTATCAGAAATAGTACTCTGCTTGCACTGTGGAATGAGTTCATTCCCCTAATCTCGAATGAAAAAAAAGACGATTTTGGTCATTATTTTTTCTCATTTTTTCCCTTTTAAGAAAAAAAAAGAAATTCAATTTGCATTTTCTGAAAAAAAAACCTTCAAGCAAAGTCCCACATGGAAAAAATTTATAAGGAGAATTAATTTCAAAGTGAAGAATTCGCGGAGGAAGGATTGACGGGGAAAAAATTCAGGGATTTTTTAACGGGAAAAAAGAAACTCCGGCCACTTTTCAAGATTTTGACGTATTTCCTCATTGAAAATAAAGTATTTAATGGAATCAAAGAAAATTGAAAAATCTAATTCTATTATATTATTCCATAGAAGTTAATAAAAATCTTGAAAATTTCCGTAAAAACTTGCAATTTTTAATTGATTCAAAATGAAGAATAATTTAATCAATTGCCGTTGGTCTGTTCCTGAAAAATTTGAAATGTCATTGAATTTTCAAGATTTTTCCCCCTTCAAGTTTTATATCGCTCTCCTGAAAATGACTACCAAATAGTCCATTAAATGTCCATTTTTTCGAATAGTATACTATACAGTAATTTTTCTGATATTATCTTCTTCGTGTTGACAATTTAATATTCTTTTGGTGTACTTACGATGATTGAATAACCCAAAAATTCATTTTTTGTTTCAGTATTATGGTGGACGTTCTCTCAAATTCAGGGTTCTGCCCAAGGAATTCCCTTAGACATTGCGGATCCTGAAAGAAATATTACTGAAGAAATGACGCCGGTGAACATTCAAATAACGGAATATCCAGGGGGCCATATGCTCCTCATAACTCCTGAAGAAGTTCATACTAACGTTTCTAAGACTCCATCTGTCGGAAGAGTTCCATCTTCTAGTGAAAATACCGACCATTGTCTTCAAAATACCTTTAACAAGACCATTCTAGGCTTACAAAAGCAACTCAACGAAATTTCATCAAAAGTAAGTGTTTTGGAATCAAAACTAGAGAGAAGACTGATTCACGATGTTAAGAATTCACCGAATGTCTTCTTCGTCCCTCCGACGAGTCCTGAACCTTCGTTAATGGGCGGATCTGCTCTTGAACATTTGAGAGATAAGAAACCTGCTGATAGGGTTGAGTGGATAATTCCTTTGACAGAATCCACAACTCCAGCTCCTGAGCCACCGCCCAAAAATCTATTCTCCAGAATCATTTCCCAGGAGCACGCTGCAACTTCATCAATCCCTCAACAGCAGATCGATCTTCTGAATCGAGCGAAAAGAAGGAGCGAGAAGAGGCGTGAAGCACTTGATAAGAAACCGAAAGTATTGTCCCTGTGTGCTCGGATCATTCCCGTCGATGAGAAAACTCAAAACATGTCCTCAATCCCAACTATCCGCCGGTCCAAGAGGAATCGTCGTGATGCATTCAGTAAGGACAATAGTTTGAAGGAACACTCGATGATGTCAGAATGGCTACGTGCGGTGTACAAGCCCCAAGAAGAACGTAAAATGGTCCGGAATGCAGCACTGAAAGCGTGGTTGGGTAACAAGTTAGAGAGAGATGGCTTGAAGGTTGATAATGTCAAACTTCGTTATGCGGGGGAGGCTCCCTCAGTGGCTCTGAAGATGCATGAAGTCCATGCATCCACGAACGATTATGATCAGGAGGATCAGCGAAAATGAGGTGATGAGAGCAAGGATAAGTAGGCCGTCTCAGAAATATTTCGATTCAGTGTGGTTTATAAAGTGTTTTTTTTTATAGCAACAGTAGTGATCACACGGGTAGCGTGCGGCTCTGGTGGTCGTCTAAGCTAAACAGCGTTTAGTCTGGTTAGTACTTGGATGGGTGTCCGCCCTGCATGGTTTCCCTGGTAGTAGTCCTAGCCCGAATGGGGTGAGTGGAGAAGAGTAAGAGAGGCATAACAGGGGACGAAATTAGACGCCTATAAAACTGTAACGGTAGTAGGAACGATATATGAATAAAAATATGTATTTCCTTTTATGCTCAAGGTAAAATAAGTAGATTACTGCACAAATTTTTTTACGTCATTGTTTCACGTCGCTGTGACTCGGTTTGAGTGTGCTGCAAAATCTGATAAACACTTTGAGGTATTTACGACGAGGTTGAAAAAATCTGGGGTAAGTTCTGAGAAAAATCCTGGCGTCAAGTTTTTACATCTTTAATGGGTAAATATTTCGAATTACTGAAGAGTATCACTTTCTAAATAATGCAATAGTCATTTAAAATTTTTTTAAAATTTAACATGGATTCTGATGGGAAAACATGGTTTTACTCAAGAAAGTCTATTATATCTTGATAAAAAATTGTTATGAAGAAATTCGAATATTTTCTTGTGTTTGGGCGAGGGGGAAGGAGGGTTATTATTATGGTAATCTTAAGTCTCGCCTTAAGAGGTAACGGTACGACCGCAAAAATCGTAGTAGAGCTACCCTCCGCTAGAGGGATACATACCAACCGATAGATGGCATTAGCATCGATGTAATGATGCCAGTCAGTAAAGACTTCTAGCAACTAGCAAGCCATGTTGGGCGCCGCAGTGGGGACGCCGTGCGCTTACGGAAAATAGGAGGAGTGGGAATGAGCGCTAGACCCATCTAGCGGATCCTTAGAAATTTATATTTGCAGAGTCTTCACTTTATCTTCCTAATTATTTATCATTCAATATTCAAATGGTCCGTACGCCCAAGTTATTCGAAGAATCTTAACTCTTGAACTTTCATTGGATTGTACAATATAAATCCTTGGTGCTGATATCTGCATTTTCAAATTCGTCCAATGATAGACAAGAGATTTGACTCTTTTCATTACAGTTTCCGGTGGTAGATAAATCTGTAATTTTTTACTCCTCATATGAATATGAAAATTATTCAGAACATAGATAATCCCTCCAATGACAAATGTACAATCTCAAAGGTCTCAGTCAATTATTTGACTGCCAAATGACCCTTCGAAAATTCGTCGGTAAACTGCGGGGCTACCTTCTCCTCTTAAGGATGAAAGTTAACCCTTAACTGGTCGTATCGTGAGGGAATCCCTGCTAAACCATACGCAACCTATAGGGTGTGACTGTAGAGGGAGACACTGTTATTTTTGCATTTCTAGATTAATTATTATCAATAATACTGGACCGCCGAAGGTGCACAAACTCAACCAGATCGTTTCTATTCATATCAACTTTCCTTTAGAATTTATCCCAGATATTAATCTTCAAAATTCAAATTATATTTATACTATTTTAACGTAAATGTCCTACGATTTTTCATGCATCGCTAAATTCATATGCATATTAGCCAAGCGATTTGTACTTTGACTCAGAGATTAGATTCTATTTTCAACAAACGGTCGATAACGCATTATATAATCCATTATAATCTCATGTTTACTCACAACAAATGTTTCAATGTTTCGTGTGTTGCATTATTGGCGATCTTGCATCCCTATTCATACTAGTTTTGATAACATGAGTTCAGAAAACATCTTTATACCTAAGTTGGAAAATTCTTAGAAGAGGTCATGTACTTGAAGAAGATCGCGACCTTGCCCCACATCCATGGTACTGCCTCAGTCCACAGAATTGTGAACTCGAAGTGAATTACATAAGTATAGATAACATATTGAGCAACTGTTTATTTTCTTTTAAATCTTTCATTCCAGCTAGTGATACAAAAATAGTTGTCCAAAATTTATGGCATAGTCTCCTAAATTTTAAATGACATTGCCGAAAATCGTTTGGTGGAATAATTCCAACATGATGACGAATATCAACGTAATTGCAAATTATTTTCCACAGCTCATGAATCATCTTCACAGATTTAGTGTACATTTGTAAAATCTGGATGATCAGTAACATCACATATATCATCAGGTAATCGTTGACATGTGAGAACTGGAGGAACTTCGCAGACACACTTGACACAAACTGAGTCATAATTTGTTTTTTGGTTGAGTTCCTCTCCTAGACGTATCTTGAGAGTTCCAAACTTACACATCATATCTTCGGAGCCTGAGTCATCCTCGCTGCCTCCTGATGAAGCTGTGGTTCCTTCGGGCTTGATAACTTTGTCTTGACTATTCTCTGTTGCAATCGAAAATGAATAATTTCATCAGAAATCCTCAAATAGATTAGCTAGATGATAACATGAGGCTGCACTTACGATATCTGTATGCTACCGGGCAGTCTGTCTGGGGTGATTGTGCGCTGTAGTAAACAGGTGGATAGTTATTATGAAGTTCGTCCGAGTGACGGAGTTCAATTCCACATTCGGAATTGATTCTGACTCTGCAGAATGGTTCAACGTTTTCACCTGTGAAAAAAATGATATTTCAGGATGAATATGTTGGTGATCATTTTGATTATAGTTAGGGCTGAAACTGTATTTGACCTTTGTATCCAGCATCACAATAGCAATCTTTTTTCGGTTCTCCGGCTGGTGAGAAGTATTCAGCGGCTTTGTATATTTTTCCATCGACTTCACATGTTGGCCAATCCTCTGGTTTTTTAGCTGAAAAATGCCTTGTGTCGTTAAAGCAGCATAAACATCAATTTTATTTTTAAGGGACACACGGATAGAGTTGGTGTGCGGTCACCGGCCATATCGTAAAGGAAAAAAATGAAACTGATAAAAAATGATGAATTTTCCTCACAAATTAAGTAAGCTTGCGTATATGTGAAATTCGAAGGTTGAATAATCGAGATTCTACAGTTCCTGCCAATTCATTTTTCAAATCACAGAAGTTACCACTTGGTAAAGGGGAGCGGATCAAAACTCATTGACACACTAAAATCTGGAGAGGGCCCGCCAGTTTTTCATTTCTGGTGCCATAAACATATGATTTCTCAAACTAATTTCTAATGAATTATGATTGTCAGAACCCAATCGGTATAGAGTATTAGCTATTTTTTGTGCCCCCTTCGATACGTCCCATATGTTGGTGACAAGATAGTGCTCGTACGGGGTAATTGTAAAGTGACTCTCATAAGACGCTGTATATTTAATATTTTTAATATTTTGTTTGCAAGGAAACGAAGAGGTCGGTTGTGTTCGGCATCCTTGCATCACATTTCTCTATTTAGAAGGTTTTCCCTCGAAATTTTCCATGTATAGCGCATTGTCGACGGTTTCCATATAACCTGGCTGAGGAAGTACCTTAACACTTCACTTAAAATGTATTTCATATTTTAATCTTTAAAAAACGAAGTGTGTTCTCACTTTACCGGCAGAATCTTACGTCAGAATAAGGATTTCTGAAACGAGTTTTCAATTCAAAATGTATGTCACTTACGGCAAACTGGGGCCCCCGGACAGCACTGGGTTGCCTTTCTAGGATTATAACAGTCAGGAAGATGACGAGTAAAGCAATCAACAATAGCACAAGTAAATTCAGCACTGAAACGTAATGTCAGTAGTAATCAAATAGTTGTTTGGAAATTATGTAGTGCCTAAGCGGTGGGTCGGAATAAGCCAACATCTTTCATGAAAATTGATCTTCGATCAAAAATGAGTTTTCCTATTTTACTAAAGATGAAAGGAACGTGAAGTTGTTTTATATCGAAATATCTCGAAACTGCCTGACTGCTAATCCTTAATTCTGATTGGTCAATATGTGACACAAAGTTATTCACAAAAAAACGCGGCATTTTCAAATTCTTCAGTGACATAATTTCAAATTTTTCAGTGGTAAATTTTTTTTTCATATATATATATATAGATATAGATATAGATTTTGCACGCAATTACAACTGGCCTCCGCTACATCAAACAGACGTAGTCGCCTCCGATTTTTGAAAAATTTTCGGTCCCCCGCTCGAAAAACATACTCCTTCCGGGTTAAATACCTCTGGGTTTTAACATTGCGAAATGTGTGTGGTGTGCGTAGCGTCCTGAACTCCAGAATTGTGGAATTACCCATTTCAAAAAGTTGGGTTAAACCCAGAGGTACCTAATCGCCTCCGATTTGACGCAGTGGCCTCTCAGAGAAGAGGCGAGTAGGATAGCCACATGTAGTGTATATGGAGGCGTACATGTACGCTGTGCATATTTATACATATATATATATATATATATATATATATATATATATATATATATATATATATATATATATATATNTACTCCTTCCGGGTTAAATACCTCTGGGTTTTAACATTGCGAAATGTGTGTGGTGTGCGTAGCGTCCTGAACTCCAGAATTGTGGAATTACCCATTTCAAAAAGTTGGGTTAAACCCAGAGGTACCTAATCGCCTCCGATTTGACGCAGTGGCCTCTCAGAGAAGAGGCGAGTAGGATAGCCACATGTAGTGTATATGGAGGCGTACATGTACGCTGTGCATATTTATACATATATATATATATATATATATATATA